TTTTCTATCAAATTACAGATCATTGGAGCTATAGAAATTTCACTTCCAGTCGTGTGTTCCTAAGCACACTCGCTTTTCTTTTCATTTAACCGCATTATAATAGAACTACACTTACCTGTCGTGTTGTATTGTAACACATCAGAGAGCTATCTGTTTCATACAATTATGGTTAATGTGAGAACGCTGTCGACACATCGCGACACACAGGTTTTATCAGAATCAGAATTTCAGAATTTTATTTGTGAAACATAGGTTAGTATACATGGTATATATAATTTTTGTTAGTATCACTACATTTCCACCTTAATTAAGGTATACAAATAGATAAGGACCTATGAAGGAAGTACTATTATTTTTACATTGGAATCACAATTTATGAACATAATTTGAAATTGTCTATTGTTACATGTATGTCAAAGTAGATTATAAATTAATTATAAATTTGATAAGCCATTGTCAATTATACTAATAGTCAAAATTTTAATAGAAAAATAAGCAAAATGTCCAAAATAGCAATAAATACACATTTCTTAACTGGATTGTCAATTTTAATATGTCTAAATTTTTTAATAGAGATCTGCTTCTGTATAGTTCTTAGTGCTAACCGTACTAAATGTATGAACCAGATCGCGCCACAACACAACACGTAAGATAAATATAGTTCAGCCTTTAGTTTAATATTTCTGTAGGGCCGTCCTTTTTGACTAAAAATCGTCCCTTTTCAGATTTCGAATCGTCCGAAACACGACGCAGGTACTGGCAACACTGTTTGTGAATGAGCCACAGATTCGCGTAGTGTATATATTCTGTGCCACAGATTTTTAAACTCTCGTTAACTAAAGAAAGCTTATTATTTTTGATATGTTTATATTATAACCATATTTTTAGATTTTAAGTGTATCACACCTTATAGTGTTTATGGAGGTGTTTGGCGAAAAATGTATGGCAATAGACTTTATGATGTCGCCTACCATCTATAATATTTGTCTTAGCACATTTGCATGTAGTAAAAATGATAATATACTTGTGGATATTAATACCACAGTGTAATAAAAAATGATTGGTATGTTTTCCAAACCGGTAAAATTAAAAGTCCTTTTTAAAATGAATATATTATACAAAGGTGTCCGTTAAAATCTAACGACTGTAAAATAAAGTATAAATTACGCCAAAATTACAGTATATGTCAATATTTTTTGTACATTTGGGCCAATTTGAGCAATCTCCTTTATGTAGGCATCGTGAATTTACCGTAAAATACTGCGATTCATTTTAAATATGTATTGTCTAATTACACAGTCAGGTCATAAGTATTGTCACACAGTAAAAATTTTTCTTTTAGAAAGCTGGGCACAAAAAGGTTTGTCGAATTCGAATTTCGAATTGTTCATGAAAATAAAAATGTATACTTTTTAGAATTTTACTCATTTTTAAATATGGAGTGGACGCTTAAAGAAGACCGTGTTCCAGTTATTGGGTTGTATCCTTGCTGATACGCGCCAATTCAAAGTGATTGCCCTCGGTCTGTTAGGACTCCAGCAGTGATAAAAGCTGTGAAGGCGCGAATTCAAAGAAATCCCAAACGTAAGCAGAAACTGTTGGCCCTTCAGATGGGGTTAAGCAGAACCACAGTGAAAAGGGTGTTGAATGAAGACTTAGGGCTTCGGGCATATCGAAGAAAAACAGGGCATTGTTTGAATGCTCGTCTAATGGACCTGAGACTGAAGAGATACCGCGCTTTGTTGAAGCGGTACGCGGGAAAAAAATATCGGGAAATTCTTTACCATAGAAGAGAGCTACAACAAACAAAATGATAAGGTGTACGCACACAGTAGTGAAGATGCGAGCAACTGTATTCCGCGTGTCCAACGAGGTCATTTTCCATCCTTGCCCATGGTATGGTTAGGAGTTTCTTATTGGGGCTTAACAGAGGTACATTTTTGTGAGAAAGGTCTAAAAACGAATGCAGTTGTGTATCAAAATACAGTTCTGCCGAACCTTGTGGAACCTGTTTCTCATACCATGTTCAATAACAGGCACTAGGTATTCCAACAAGAATCGGCGCCAGCTCATGGAGCGAAGAGCACACAAGACTGGCTGGCGGTGCGTGAAATCGACTTCATCTGGCACGAAGACTGGCCCTACTCCAGTCCAGATTTGAGTCCGTTAGATTACAAGATATGGCAAAACTTGGAGGAAAAGGCGTGCTCAAAGCCTCATCATCCCAATTTGGAGTCACTCAACACATCCTTGATTAAGGCCGCCGCCGATATTACGTCTTGTTTTCCTGAATAATATGCGGTTTATCTTCGGAAGTACGAACACATCTCTTCTTATCGCTCCCAACTTCATTGGCTATCCGTTTAGCAAAAAACGACACTTTACATACTACAAGTATTTTTTCGAATTATTTCACGGAGCTCTCTTTTATTTTATTCAAATATAATTCAAAGTGTAATATGTAATTGACTATTTGAATACAGGAGAAGACAAAATATTTAATTTATTTTAAGTAATGTTGAATATAAATTAGCTATGTAAAAGTGTGCCTCATCAATGTTGTTACATGTTAGTTATCTAATAAATGTAGTATTTTGACCTCCAATTCTATCTTGTCTTTAAATGAAATCTTACATGAGGGTGCTCAAGTATCACAGCACACAACCAAGGTCGTATTCATTTATATACTGAGTCACTGCCAGATCACTAATACAATGCTATGTGCAGAATGGCTTTTCAATTTTACTGCACAATTTGAATGCTTCCTAGATAGTGATAATCTAGTTCAACAATACATTTTATCATCCAGCCAATGTCAGTGCTACCTAAAATAAACATTAATAAGGCAAAACCAAGTTCCGCACCATATAAATTAAAATATTTTTAAACATTATGGGGCTGGCAATTTCAACTGTGCAATGCAATGACATTTTTTTCCTCATAGTGGGTTTCAATCCACAATCCTTTGCAAAACTCCTTATGATGTATTGATCGTTTTCTTACTACTTTGTAGCTTAAACAACCTAGTATTTTAGCATGGAATTTTATTTACCAAAAAGTTAAAAGCTGACAAGCGAAAAATCTAACAGAACATTAATTACACAAGTTTTTTTGGTAAGTTAAATAAAACTAGATTATTATCTGTTTACCCTATCATAATAAAATTTAAACAATGGTAATTATAAAGCACTACATTAACATAACTTTAGGGTCCACTTGCAACTATTTTACTAAATTAAAGTAAAACTAGATTGACAAGAATGTCAAATAAACATTGAGTTTTAGCATTTTTGTATTGCTTAAATCCGGTTTCAGACAAATTTGCTGCAGGTGGACATATGGAAGGAATTTCAGTTTAAGAAAGTAGGGCACAGCAGATTTTCTGCTAGAATTAGAGAGCCTGTCTGGGGGATAGCAACCTCCACCTTACAGAAGGCCAAAGGCCATACCTTCTGGTGCATCATCTATCTTTGCCTCTGGACTCAACTTACATTAAAATTAGGTGAGGTAGGGAAATTTGTACAATTGCACCTTGTATAATTATAATTGCAATAAATGTCACTGTGGATAATAATTTTGTACCTTTTGTGTACTTCCCTGCAGTAAATACCACTATGCATATGTAGTACTCACATGAGTTCAAAAAACTTGTGTGTGAACACCTCCCTGACTACGTGACTTTTCCTTATAGTTTGCATCAATATATATTATATTTAATGAGTTTCATGTATGTTTATGTATGGTTTTATGAGTATTTTATATATGTGTATTAATTTGTATTTAAGTTTTATTAGTTTTATTGCTGTTATTATGTTAATTTTCATTTTATTTAATATTTAGAAACTTTGCCCTATCACCATACTATTTGTCTCTAACACTCTGACTGGTAGAGAATGTCTTGGCATTAAGTCTGCCGTTTGCTTGTTTGGCAATGAAGTTTAAGTAAATAAAATAAATAAGGATGCTGAATCATCAGAGCAGAGGATTTAGTCAGGGTAGCAAAGGTGTGAATGATACTCCATGGTATTGCACATGTATGGTGGGTTCTCACCATTGGGTAAGCCAATGTTTTCTTGCCATCCATTTTTACAAGAAATTCTGTTTTATAACAACATGTTTTCTTGCAACATAATACTTCTTTTGAGTGTAAATTCAAAATTCCAGTAAAAAGCGCAATTAATAAATTAATAAAAAAAACATTGATCATGGTGTTGATTCTGGCATGATTCTCTAAACCTAAAATTTAATTTGACAAGTGTAACTTTGTTGTTTTCTACATAATAAAAAGGTGAGACTGGTGTTAAATTAAGTTTTAAGTTTAGAGAATCATGGCAGAATCAACACCATTATGCAATTACAATAATTTTAATATATATTGTGTTTGTGTACAGTTATTCCAATTGTTATGTTTTTTACTAACAAAACAAACTAACTTTAGTTAAAAAAAAATAAAAAACAACTGATATTCTTGCTTAGAAATAATTCAATTTCCAATATTGTTTAATGTTTACTGTGTTATGTGAGTCATCCAATAAACATGACAAAATAAACAAGTCTAACATAGTTTATAGGTTAAATGTTTCGTAAATCCTGATTGGGTTTCCAACAGGAATAAATTATATTTGTAAGAAGCATTACACTTTACAAAGAGAGAGCACTTTAAAGTAAGATTTTATATAAGGTAGTAATTTGAATCAGATGAACACTCAGACTCTGGTCCAGAATGCATAAATGTTTGGTATAACAAAGTTTTTTAAATTGACAAATGCTTCCTAAACTTAGTAACAGTCGGACCCTGAAATATCAACGGTTTCTGGCACCCGGCACATCATTTATGTTGGAATAGGATATGGAACACGCCTCGCACAAGAGCACGAGTTGACAAGTAAACCTATGTCTATACAGATTTAGGCGTGAGTAGTTCTGTGATAATAAAATGTAAAAACTACAATCATTTCGAATGCTCTGTTATTACAACAAATATGAAACGTTAAACTCACCATAAATTTCCTTTATTTCGTTGTCATTTGCTGCATTTACACAATGAACGCATAAAATAAATACAATAAAAATGGCTCCGAACGAATACGGAATATCCATTTTCAATTGCGTTAACCGCATTTTTAACAAGCCTTATGTTTCAAACACAGTCCTTGAACCACATTTTCGCTTAGTTTACGATAAAAACGGAAACAATATCCTTAACTAGTCATTTAATTAATATAAATTGTTTCGTGAACCATTGAAAGATAGACCCCGCCGTCTGTCATTTGACTTGTCAATAAACAAATAATGCTGCCACATAAAAAAAACATTTAACCAACGCCCAGTGATGCCAGACCTACAGATTTGTCCGTAGATCGAAGGACTTTGGATCATTGGGGTAATTGGTAATTTGAGGACGTAGAGTTATAATTTTACAAAATCATAATAAAGTATGGTCGTACTCAAATATAGTTTAGATTTTTATTACACATTTAAAACCATTAACCAATAACCAAGACAAAATCTTTAAAAGATTCAGTAAAATTAATTGCCTTTATAATTATAATGAGGAATGTATGTTCTTAATCTTTGACATTGTAGTACCCTTACTGACTACATAACTCGCCTCGCCATAAATTTTTTTTTTCGAAATTGGGGTGCATTAATTATAAGTCAATACGATCGCTTAAGCAAGCAAAAAGGCTGATTTAGTGGCGTAGCTTCAAAGATTGGTTCAAAGGTATTGAAGCTGACATGAATTTGGAAAAAGCTGAACAGCTGGAACTCGTAAAAGAAAACAAAACTGCGAATTTAAAACATAAAATTGATGAATTGGCACTTTATCATGGACACAAAGTAAAAAGAACGCCGCCGTACCTTAGCCAGTTCAATGCTATGTAGTTGATCTGGGCTCAAGACAATGGATACGCAGCACGCCATAATACAAAGCTGCCATTCTCCATCTCTAAGAAAATGACGAAAGAAGCTTGTGCCAAAATCACTACAAAACAAATGGAGCCGGTTCTTATAAAAAAAGAGCAATGTTATGAAGAAATCTAACCTCAATGAGTAAGTTTCAATTAATTTCTTGATACTTGTTTTTTTTAATTGCTATTTTTTATTTATATTTCAACAGTTACCTTCTTTACTATAACTATATATCTAAAATTTTATTTTCATATAAAGTTAGATAATGGAACTGTTTTGCATTACAACAAAACAGATATTGGTGTCGATTCTGTCATGATTCTCTAAAATCTGTGCTGATTCAAGAGTTTCCTTGTTTTTCTTGTTATTTCTCCCAAAGCGCTCAACAGATCTTCACCTAATTAAATTAATATGGAACCATCTCGCTGTTATCCTGTTATTGAAGCTACCTGACTGAGTTATAAAATTATTCGTTTCCGAGCTCTAGCGATATCAACATCGCAGTTGGAAAAATATTTTGTTTGTTTTTATCATAACTTACAAAGTACGTAATGAATCGGCGTTTAAAGTATTTGTTGTTTAAACACAGATTTTGAAATTTAAGTTTTGGTATGTCATGTGCATATGGCAAATAACAAAGTTTCACATTCTTAACTAGTTTCGATTTGGAGATAGACCAAGTAACAAAAATACTTTAGAAATAACAATTTTCACGGCTACCATTTTCTAAGGGCGCTTGGCTCCGGGCAGGACAATCGAGTTGAACTGTCAAGTGTGAACTGGCATTATAATTTCGCACCCCATTCCGATACGTAACAATATTCATATCCTTCTCAAAGAACAACGACAATGATGTATCACGCGTGTATGAGACCCCCCCATTTAAAATTATAAAATTGAATTTTGAACTAAAAATTCGGCTTTGGGCAAGCATTCCACATAAAATGACAAAATTTCAGTTCTGTTACTCATTTTGCTTACGATTTAGAGGCACGTGGCATATGGACAGACAGACAGACAGACGACAGACTGTCAGCCATAGGGCTCCGTTTTTACCCTTTGAGTACGTAATCCTAAAATTGTATCATCGAAACCTGGCCAAAACTATGCGAACAACAATTTATACAGGGTTAATTTTAAAATACCGGTAACCTCGCAGTACTAGATAGCTAAAATCATACACTTAAATATTTATTCTACGAGTATTGAAAATTCGTTACATTTACATACGCCGCGTGCTGCGGGCGGGGCAGCACGCGGTGTTAGCGTTTTAACGACAACAAAATAATAGGTATTAAGACAAGTACCAATAATGGACATTAAACTCGGTGTAAGTAACTTGAGAAAACGATAAATGCTACATGAGCTACATGAGCAATAAACTATGTACGTAAAGTATCTAGTAAAGAAATACAATATTTATTATTGGAAGCGCGTGATTGATTAAGATTATGAAGGAAATATAGACATATAAATGTCACGACAGTATATCAAAAACTTAGCAATTTTTTATTGATCAAAGTATTGAGTTATGTTAAAACTTGTTTGAGAATTCTTCATTACGCGCCGGGCAGGTGGCCAGTTTACACATGTCTGTGCCACCCGCCCGCGCTTTCTTCAAGCTATTCCTGAAAAGCGGGATTGAGCCTGCCCTGCACGGACATTAAATTTTGATTTAAAAATCGGGACGTCCCACCAAAATCGGGGCGTCTGGCAACGCGGCTCAGTAATGAAATGAAAATTGTGTTCACTGTTATCACTGAATGAAATCCCTTTTTCGAGTTTTAATGAGGAATAATATTTTACTTACTTGTGTTTTTTAGTATTGACTTTTTTAATGATGAATGATGTTTGGTAATAATCAAATATCTCAGTAAAAACTATACTAATTGTAGTGTTATCTTTACCTTAGTAGTAATTTAAATAAAAAGGTTTTCTCACTCTATACCTGGAATATTTTTGTAATGAAATGAAATGAAATGAAATGAAATGAAATGAAATGAAATGAAATGAAATGAAATGAAATGAAATGAAATGAAATGAAATGAAATGAAATGAAATGAAATGAAATGAAATGAAATGAAATGAAATGAAATGAAATGAAATGAAATGAAATGAAATGAAATGAAATGAAATGAAATGAAATGAAATGAAATGAAATGAAATGAAATGAAATGAAATGAAATGAAATGAAATGAAATGAAATGAAATGAAATGAAATGAAATGAAATGAAATGAAATGAAATGAAATGAAATGAAATGAAATGAAATGAAATGAAATGAAATGAAATGAAAAGTCATTTATTCAGTCTAGGCTGTTACAAGCACTTGTGAAAGTCAAGAAGCTACGCCATCGGTTCGCAAAACTACGGCGGGAGACCTTGTACTGAGAAGAACCGGCAAGAAACTCAGCAAGGGCTGCTTTTTTCTCCCTGTATTGATATATACAGAGTCGTCAAGTTGAAAAATGACTTCAGACATACTTCTGAAGTCACCTTCCATTACATTATTTAGGGTATAGATATATAGTTACAACAAATTTTATATTTAGTATATATAGGAAGCGGCATTAGATAGGTACCATACTACTGTTACAAAACTGACTCATACCCATCAAATAAGAAATTACAAGAAACACTATGTCCATGCATTACGATCATTTAGATAATCATTAACTTTATAATAGCCCTTATTCATAAGAGTATTCTTAATCTGAGATTTAAATTTGGTTAGTGGAAGCTCAATCAGATCTTGGGGAACTTTGTTAAACAATGCAATACTACATCCCAGAAATGAACCTCTAGATTTTTGGAGTCTGAAACATGGAACGGCAACGGTAATAGCTTTTGATAAAAAAATAAAAACATGTTTCATTGTATTCGTGTAATTCCCATGCATCATCATCATCATTATCATGTCAGCCGTACGACGCCCACAGCTGGGCAAAGGCCTCCCCCAAGGATCTCCACCAATCGGTCCTGCGCCACTCGCGTCCATCGGCTTCCCGCAACCTTCACAAGATCGTCGGTCCACCTTGAAAGGGGCCTGCCCACTGAGCGTCGTCCGGTGCGTGGTCGCCATTCCATAACCTTTCCGGCCCAACAGCCATCGGTTCTTCTTACTACGTGTCCTGCCCTCTGCCACTTCAGCAGAGCAATCGTTCGAGCGATATCGGTTACTTCGGTTCTCCTACGGATTTCCTCATTTCTGATTCTAACGCGTAGGGAAACACCGAGCATCGCTCTCTCCATTACTTGCTGTATGACCTTATGAGACCCGCAATAAAGGGCCACGTCTCGCTTCCGTAGGTCATCACTGGCAACACACACTGGTCAAAGACTTTTGTCTTGAGACATTGAGGTAATTTGGAGGCGAAGATTTTCTATAGCTTCCCGAACGCTGCCTATCCGAGCTGGACACGATGACGAGAGATCTCTTTCTCAAAGTTGGACTTACCTAACTGAACTGTCTGTCCTAGGTAAACGTAATGGTTTACAACTCCGAGTGTAGTGTTCCCAATTTTAACTGAAGCGGGTACTACATGGGCATTCGAAATAATTTTCGTCTTATCCATGTTCATCTTAAGACCCACTTTTTGGGAAGCACTACTAAGATTTTCTAACATTGTGTTAAGATCTTCCAAAGTCTCAGCCATAAGAACAACATCATCGGAGAAACGAAGGTGCGAAAGATACTCGCCATTAATGTTAATGCCTCGTCCTTTCCAATCCAGAAGCTTGAAAATATCCTCCAATGCAGCTGTGAACAGTTTCGGAGATATCACATCTCCCTGTCTCACGCCTCTCATTAGAGTTCTGGTTCTGTAATCGGACTGACATAGTGACGTTTTCGTAATTATACAGTTTGTCTATAAAGTCGTGACATTAATGTTTGAGGAACTAACATTATTCATGTGTCTGGCAACACCAAACTTATGTACATCAGCTGTCATCGAGTTTCAGTTGTGGAACAGTTTTCCTTTTGTATTTTTTATTGTTTGGATTAAACTGTAATAAATTAAGACGAAACTACGCAGAAAGGTATAAAAATGAGTAAAGTAAATCGGAGTGGCACGCGGGAAGTGATTTTTAAAGTTTTCCAGCGATGTTTCGAAGACTACCAAGCTGGACGAATTTTGTGGGATTTGGATGATGCGACGATGAGGCGAACAGCATCTATGACGGGTATGTAATCGTGTTACAAATTTACTCAATTTACGATTTTGAGACTAAAAAAGGCATTGTTTAAATTGCACATTTTTAGGTTAGATTGACATTGTAAATAGGTAATATTGTAGTACGACCATTTCTTTTGATACTTTATTATGGTTCAACTCGGTCAGGTTTTCTACCAATTTTGAATAAATTGCTTCATGTCAATAAGGTATTGTTTCTATTCCGTTACATATTTATTACTTTTTTTCAGGAAAATCAGAGAGTCGGATAGTCAACGAAGGTTTTAAGAATGATGGAAAGTTTGAAACTCCTGGGAAAACAGGCAAGGCCGACCAAAGAAAGAAATGGTCACATAAAGAACCATGGCCAGATGCTTTTAGTGAAGATACCTAGCACTAATTTTACTAACTGCACATTTACAAATTATTTCTCTAAATAAACTTTTTATATACTATAAAATGATTTTTAGTATTATTTTCATAACAAGTGTGTTAAAAAACGTCGTATGATGATACTTGTGTGTATTGATGATTACCTAACGGCTCTGGTCTCAATGGCACCTCAGCGGTAATCACCAACATTACACACTTTTACACTATAAAGTACTATTTTATCTATAATAATTTTATTCTGATTCAATTAAATATGCTTGGCTAAAGTTTTTATAAGCATAGGTCGTAGGACCTACTATATATAAAACAGAAACAAAATACGACTGTATAGTGTGTCTTATTAATTACCTATTTTACTTGAATGAACTGCAATCAAAATCATTTTGGTCCGACTGTATAGGGTTGCTACATGCATACTAGTGGCGCCATCATTTAATGTCACGACTTTATAGACAAACTGTACCTTAATACCTCGACATACCTGTAGTCTACTTGGCACCTTCGGAGAGACTGTAACACAGCCCAGGTCTCAAACGTTTTGAAAGCTTTCTCATAGTCCACGAACGCCAAGCAAAGTGGCAAGTTACTCTTCAGTCTTCTGTATAACCTACCGTAGCGCATGAATGTGGTCTATGGTACTGAAGCCTTTTCGGAAACCGGCTTGTTTGGGAGGTTGGAAGTCGTCAAACCTGATTCGTAATGACTCTCGAAAACAATTTATAAACATGGATAAGAGTGAAGAAGTGAGATTGATCGATAGTTTTGCAACAGTGCTTTGTCACCTTTCTTGAAGAACAGGACAACTTGAGTACACTTTTTAGTACATACTTTTTTAGAAAAATTGTACCTTTACGGTCTGCAATTTTATAGCGATGAAACTTTAAAATTCCGGACAAATCACCATTTTTATACAATCGCAAACCTATGGAAACCACAAAAATAAAAAGCGAAATGTTATAAGCATATTGACCTTGCTTCACAAGCTTTCTTTATGGCTGCATCATTCTGTCGTTTCCTTTTTTTTGATACAATGGTAAGCAGGAGTTTTACGCCCCATTGTAAAAGCTAACAACAAACATATTTGTTGAAGCAACGATAATCAATAACTAGGTAGGTACTTACAACAATAAAAATTAATACAGTTGTAAAAACTTATTAAAAATTAAACAAAATATCAGGCAGGTTCAGAAAAAATAATTAGATGATGATAAGATAAGATAGAAACTCGGATAATAAGGAAATTTATGAAAGTTACATAATAGGCTACTTGACACTTCTTGGAAATATGTTTTAAATGGTTAATAATTTATATATATATATATTTATAAAAGCATGTAACTGCTTGATGTTTAAATATATAGGGCAGCTATTTCTTCGTTCAAATGTTTAATACTTGTGAAAGTATCCATTTGACATTGTGGGTTACCTATAATGCGAAGACATGGCGCTGCCTTGCAACTTAAAAATGGCTAGAGGAATTTTGACGCGATCCGTGAGGGCCGCGGTAACATAAATGGTCAGTGCATTCGCCCGGACTTGGAAGGGTGCGGGTTCGAGTCCCGTCTGCTGCCTGGTCCGCGTGGAATTTTTTGGTTAATAATTGTCCTATTAGACCGAAAAAAATGTATTGTATTTTGTTTACCTAGAAAGCTACAAAACTTTAATTTCTAAATAGATTTTTCATAGACCATTTTAGTCTATAGATTATCTATGCTATATGACAACCATTTGGAAGCACGTAGGAGATAACCTCATTCTAAATTTATATTATAAAACCATTATTTCTAATAGGTTTCATGATAAATATAATAATTATCATGATCGTATTATACGAGAATGTAGAAACGCATCGTTAAAGACGCCAGAATAGTTGTGGTTTAAATTGCCTAGAGAAATACACATACTTACGCCTGAACACAGTTATGTTTAAAACTTGATAAATCCAAAATTTCACAGTCTGAAAGTCTTTTCTTTTAGCAAAGATCACTTTAATGTGAGTACTCATTGAATAATATATAAACTTTAAAAATACAGTTTTTAAGGTTATGAATGTACCTACTAAGTCATAGAGTTTTGTCGTTTCTGCTTTTACAAATCCGGCGTTCAGCATTAATTTAGTCAACAAACCCAATAAACGGAATTTCTTCTACAAGATGTAAGAGTTTTTAGATATATTTTAGTCCGACGAAAGACACCACGTTTACTTGTTCACGAACATATTTACTAACTATTTGATGTCACAATCATGGTGGAGAGCGTTTTGAGTGTTTAAAAAGTATAGACTTAAAAACCCTTTTTCAAATTAAATTATTACAGTCATATTTTAATATTATTAAGTGAAATCGATGTATTTAGGTTCCTTATACCAAACATTATAAGAAATAAACATTTGTATAGTGCAATTTGACATGAGTCTACTAGCCTATTATTAAATAGTACTTTTTAATAAATATCAAAGCGTTTTAATCAATGTATATCAGGGATACCATGTAAGCGACGGTAGCGACCTCCTATTTTTCATGACTATATTGACAGACTGTATGCTTGTTGGGTCTTTGGGTACTCTTTTAAAATTTTAATAATGGCAACACTGTTCAGTTCAGTGGAATTGTTTGTTCGGCTTCTGTCGGGCGTCAATCTTTAATTTTGTTTTAATTTTAGAATTAATTAAATCGTTGCTATTGCAGACAGTGTGAATGAATTGCAAAATGATCTAAGAACTATGTGATGTGTTTGTTATCGTAACATTGCATGTATTGTTTATAAAAAGCTGTTATTTCCGCCATGACAATGGACCACTCCACTGGGAAGTGTTCGGCGACATTTGGTCTATATTTTGCGTTTATTGCGTTGTGTTATCCAGTTTTCGGTGAGTAATATAGTTCCAAACGATTTTTATTAAAAGTAAAGCAGACTAACTATTTTGTTGAAGTCGGGAATGTATAACATGAAGTAAGATAATTACTTTCCTGTCGTATATTTGCCTATAACATTTCCTATTTCCTTTAATATTTCGGATTCTGAATTATTAATGCATAAACTGTAGTTTAAGAGCTTCCAGTTATTTGGTTGATTTTATAAAAAAATACATTCTAGTTTGTTGTCATATTGTAGCTCTTTTCTTGGAAATGGGATAAATACTGTTAATTTAATAAGTCTATTCTTTACTGAATAAATAAAACAGCAATTACAGCTATGAATTTCACACCACATATAAGGTATTTTTATTGTATATCAATTCAACTTCTTTCTTTATGGTCTAGTAATCTCATAATTATTAACCCTTAATGAGCTTGTTTTGTATCTTAATTTCTGATGAACAATTAACAATATCAAGGTAAACAACACAACATATTAAATGAATGACAGCTTTATCATACCTTATTAAATATCTACTATCTACTGAGGTTATGGTTAATTTAGTCATGAAAGTTGCATTCCTTTGATCTCGATGGAATGTTGCAATTTTTAGTTTATGCTAATATTAGTGTCAGTAGACCCTTAAGCCTTTTATTCAGTGACAAAAGTTTCCAAACAAACTTGAGCATTTTATTTTGAAGACAAAATAACATTTAGGCAATTACAATGTCTAGGCACTCATGGGCAGGTAATCTGATTGATGTGATAGGCATTTTTGCAGCAGTGGCATCTTGCATTTTAGGCACTGTGCTCATAACCAAAATATCTTACCTATTACTTTTTTCTAAAATGAAATAGGTAAGATATTGACTATGGAGCAGTGTACTGCAGTTTCATAGAAGACACCAATATCAATGGACATCTTGTAAAATATACAATTTGATTGGTAAAGGGGTCCATAAATATATACAAATTTTATGCATATTCTAATCCTGGTAATTATATCTGAGCAGCTTTCCTGTTATATATTTAAATGAGGAAAACCTCAGGTTACAATGATTAATGACAGAACGTTTCACTGGGTTATAAAGGAGAATGCCGATTGGTAGTATCATCATTGGTAGCTATGTTAAAATTGATTCTACTAAATCTATGTACCTATTATTTATATTAAATTATTTTTCGATGTTTACTACCTACTCTTATACTATATCACATGGTAAAACTTAGAATTTATAACAAATCACTTGAAATCACTCAAAAATTCACAACAAACAAAACGCATTGTGATCACAAACATGACAAGACACTATTAGGCACTTACTGTGCCGATCATGACCAAGCACAGTGCGGCAACTCCTGAATAAAGTTTTTGTTTCTGTAGTAGTCGAATCTCATTTTATTTACCAAAACTCAACTGAAACCGACACTGATAATTTGGTTAGATACTAAATTAAAAATTTCACTCTGATGGCTACAAAGGTACACTTTTTCAAATTAAAAATATTCTTTCTTACATTAGTTAGGTATAAGAAATCAAAATTTGGTTTTGGAAGTCTGACTCGAAATTGTGTTGACTGATGCAATGAGATCAAAAGAGTTTTACTATTTAAGTTATTTGTGCTGAAACATGAGAAACATTTTCCTTCCAGCTCAAGACAGTTTGGAAATAGAAGTAACAGCAAAGGGCGAGATTGGTAACACTGCAAGTATTAATTGCACTGTCTCCCCAGAACCAGAGGATATCAAATGGATCTTCCAAAAAGAAACAATAATAATTGACACAAACAGGTGAGTACCTAATTGGTAAGTGCATCATTAAGGTCATGACACACATATCAACCCGAAAGCAGATTGATACGGACTCTCCTTGCGGCTTGTCGTCAAACAGGCGAACATTTAACATAAGCATGGAAAAATGGAAAAGGCGAGTGCCTGCAAATCCACTCATGTAACTTTTACGCTGAAGGCAGGAAATTGTCCACAAGTTAAACTTGGAACAGAACAGCTTCCACAATGTGATGTTGCTAAATATTTGGGGATACATCTTGACAGAAGGCATACATGGAAAACCCATATTCAAAAGAAAAGGGATGAACTAAATATTCGCTTTTGCTCACTCCTTTTGATAAAAGGAAGACACTCGCGAGTCACTTTGAATAACAAGCTTCTTATTTATAAAGCAGTATTAAAACCAATTTGGACTTACGGCATCGAACTTTGGTATACAGCGAGTAACTCATACCTAGAAATCCTGCAGTGATTCCAAAACACAGTGTATCGCACCATACTGAATGCTCCATTGTTTGTGAAAAGCACAGAAATTCACGATTACTCGCAAAGCAACACTAAAACGAAATAAACGCTATAGCTAAGCGCTATCAGGCTTAGCTATAGCGTTCAGCTCAGTGAGCTGGAAAACAGGCATTAATTAGAGATCAGTATGCAACAATGAGAGAAGAGCTATTTGATGAAAAAGCTATTTCGCACGCCTGAAAAGACATTGAAATGTTCTGCTTATAGTGTAGACCTAACTATAGCGTTCAGCTCAGTGAGCTGGAAAACAGGCATTAATTGGAGATCAGTATGCAACAATGAGAGAAGAGCTATTTGTTGAAAAAGCTATCTCGCACGCCTGAAAAGACATTGAAATGTTCTGCTTATAGTGTAGACTGATGGCAGAAAGCGGTAACACAAAAAAAAAACAGAAGCATGTAACGTAAGCCGATAAGCAGCTCCAAGTACGTTGACTCGAATACGGCTAGGCGACGCCGCGCTTACGGCTCGCAGACCGTTTGGCTTGACCAGTTCAATCAGTATGCATCCGAACATGAGGGCGCGAGAAGGGTGCGGACGTAGAGACTTAAGCTAGGGTACGAAGAGACGTAAGCTAGGCTGCAGAGAGTAAGTGTGCGTAAGCAGTTAGGGAGCTTGTCCCCAGGCGAAGGCGACACGTTTCGATACAGATTAAAGTGCATTGCAGTAGCGAGTTTCATACAAAGAATACTGAACGGCTCGAAATGACACGATGACGATCCTAATCTGAGTTGATATGTCTGATACGACCTGTTTAGGCTACGTACGAAACTTCGTTAGTAGTTTGGATAGTTCCAATTGCGGTACCCACAGTGCATCTCTTTTGACTTGACCTCAGGATGCAGTCGAATTTGAGCAGCAGAGCAGCGTGTAAAGTGCGATTCAAAATTAATATCGTTTGTAAAGTCGAGTAGAGTTGTATGTAAAAATAATAATAATGTTTTCCACATTCACACCAATTAGCCTTGCCACAAAGTAAGCACTGTAAGGCTTGTGTTATGGGATACCAGGGTATCAGATAGAATACATATATAAGTATATTTTATTAAACAGAAATATATATATATATATAAACATCCATGACTAAAGTACAAATGCTCGTATTCCTGGGACCTCATGAGTAGACGACGCCATGAAACCCGGCGTATATACCACTCGGTCATGGAGGTCGTCCATAGTCGTTGTATGCGTAGGTAGTTGAGTTGCATCGTGTGCGCACCTACTAACTACGTGACGTTTATAGCGCCAACTCCACAACCATGGCAACTTTGAATTGCACTATGCGAGGCGATATGAACACGACCCCAACGTCAACTTCGCCATTAAGACTCAGTTACTTAGTAGTGCTGCAGTTGCGTGACTAAAACGCTTGTAAAAGTATTCTATAGCTTTATTATATGTTTTGTGTGATTGGCAGAGCATCATGATATTTTTGTTATTATTTGCACCAGACAGTCACTTCTACCAATCCACTGTATTTTTATTTAACAGAACGAAACTTACGAAAGTTGACGTCAAGCAAAAAGTCAATGATCCGGACGGCAACGTCATGATGAAGAAGGTCTTGCAGGTGTTGATCAGCAATGTCACTGACGCAGACTCCGGGAACTACACCTGCCGGGCTAAAAGAGGAGACAAGGTTTAATGAATGAATCCTACTATTATTATAAATGTAAAATTTTGTGTATTTGTTACTCAATCACGCAAAAACTACTAGATGGATTTGGATTAAATTTGGTACGTATATAGTTTACGACCTGGATTGAGACATAGGATACTTTTAATCCCGGAAAAAATATTAAGTTCCTGTGGGATTCTCAAAAAACTAAAGTTGACGCGGACGGCTGCTAGTAATTTTATAAATTTGAAAGATTGTATGTTTGTTACTCATCATCAACAGCCTATTAATGTCCCCACTGCTGGGGCATAAGCCTTCCCTTTGGATGAAATAGGGAAATTAGGCCATCACCTACCACGCGGGCCCCGTACCAGGATCTACGGCTTAACATGCCTTCCGAAGCACGGAGGAGCTCGAGATAGTAAATTTTTAGTCACCCATCCAATGAGGGGCTGTCCATTAATCACGTGAGGCTCAAAAGGGGGGAGGGGTCCATAGAAAAATCACGAAATATCACAAGGGGTGTAGTAATATATCTCGTGTATTTCCGTGGTCCGAGGATACTGTACATTAAATAATGTTCATGTATAAGTTTATCGCATTTCTTTCATTATTTTTATGTCAGTCAAGAACAACCTGCAACCTTGCTACTTTATATCGTATTTTATAAATATTTTAAACAAAATAATAATATACTAAATAAGACACGTGATCATGTATCACCAAGGGGTAGGCGGGTGGTTAGGTTACGGGGTTAAAAAACGCCAAAAAAAACCTCACGTGACTAATGGACGGCCCCTGACCGACCACTAAGAAAGTTGCTTAACTTCAACGATCGCAGCCGAACGCGCTAAATACTTGCGCACATCGAGCTCCTCCCGAGTTTCATTTACTTTGTTACTCGATCATACAAAATTTGACGACGACGATACGATTACTGGGCCTCTGATCTGTATCACCGGCGACGTTCCCATTCCGTCCTGGTGACACAGAGCTCTATGTTTTTTTATCTATAAATATTTAACTTGTCTCAGTAATTATATAGGTAGGACGAATCCTCACCCCTTTCGCTAACCTGTTTCTAATAATGCTGACACTTTACTTGGCTATTTGTTAACTTGACCACCGATCTGTCCTTATCATGCCTTATATGGAATGAAGAGGACAGACTGCTATAAGCTTACAATTTTTTATTATTTATTTATTTTCTAAGAAAACCGACAGTTTACCAATACAAAATTTACAGTCATACATTTCTAAAAGTATGGCCAATGACAGGTTTTCCCTAACTAAATTAACAATAGGTGACATATCATTGGTACTTCTATCCCTACCAAGCAATCATCAAACATTCCAGCCATATGTAATTGTTATGTAATCATATAAAAGTAGTAGGTATAATAGCAAACACGAATAACCAAGTGAAATGCATTACGCTATTTCCTTTTCTATATTTAAGTAGTGTCTTTTTAATTTAAAATAGCAACTAGGCTTAAACATTTAACGAACTCAAATTTAAAATTCAACAATAGATTAGTGAGTCTCTAATCTTATATTACCAATTAATAATTATTTCATTGAAAGGTGGTGAACAAAACTGTGGCCTTAGATTTGAGCTTCCCGGGACGTTTGGTAAACAAAACTTTGGGGCCCCTAAGGCTTAATGTCTCAGTACCCGAAAATAAACACGGCAAGCTATTTTGCCTCTTCGAAGGTGAGTTTTTGTATTTTATTCAATATGTGGCACAACATAGTATTTATGATAATTATCATGCCAAGAAATGTCAAAGAAAAGTATTTTTTTAAACACACCAATTTGTCTAGCCCCAATGTAAGCACTATAAGGATTGTGTTATGGGATACTAGGGTTGGGGATAGAATACATATTGCAGAATATTTTTTTATTTAGAAATACATATAAACATGACTAAGGTGCAAATGCTCGTATTCATCACACAAACTTTTGCACCATCGGGATTCGAACCTGGGACCTCTCAGTAGATGACACCTTAAAAACGACATAATACCACTCTAGCCATCGTCAAATATCGATTTGATACAGTGACACTGAACACAAATTCTCTCTATCAATTTTGGCGTCGCGCTTAGAGTTCATAGAGTTCCTACATTGCTCTAGTAATCGAATTACAAAGAATTGACCAAGAAGTGTGAATTTTGAATAAAGTTAAGCTAACAGTCTTATATATTCCCTGAAGTATAAAAATAATTATGGTTAAAAGCTGTGCAAAGATGATATATTGCATCGTTATAATATTTTTATGCTTAAATTTTCTAATTCTCAGTTTATAAGAAACCAGCAAATATAGCATGGTATAAGAAAGAGATGATACAGTTGGAACAGCAAGACACGAAAAAAGTTGATCCGCAGCTACGATCAGCCATTCCCGTGGGACTTAAACAGATTAACGGCACCTTCGACCTGCACGTAACTGCAGAGACGAACGGCACCTACGTCTGTGAGATTAACGACGAAGTCACAGGCAAGAACATACAAGGGGAAATAGACGTGTTTGTCTATGACAAACCCAAGATCGTCAGCTTTAACGCCCTGGCCATAAACACCACACAGATTTACATGAATTGGACAGTGAACACGTACAATTCACCGGTCGAATCATACTCTTTATTTATACGCGAAAGCCCATCGGAGAACTACAATCTTTACACCCTGGAGAAGATAGCGCCGAGAAATACCACTTCATTTGTCATCAACGGCTTAAATAAATCGACGGAGTATCAAGTCAAGCTTGAGGTTAAGACGCAGGGTTGGTCAGATACCGGGTTGTGGATGGACCCAAATACTGTGAAGACATTGGATAAGGAGCCAGTGTTTGTACCGAAGATATCCATTAACGGTTTCTCCGCTACATCCGTGACTATCGGATGGCCTCCCCCACCCGAAGATATAGCCGATCTGATACACTATTATCACCTGGAAGGTAGGAAGAATGGTGAGAACAAAACTCGCGAGGCGTACCATCCACGGGACGGAAAAAATTTACCCTATATGTTTCCTGAATTGGATCCGCACAGCACTTATGTGTTTCGGGTGAGTTTTCCCTTTTAAAACAGTAATATTAAAATCCATATTGCCTGTCTTCCCAGTAGAGATGACAGCTAATTTTGTTTTTTCTCATCTATCAGATATATAACCCTTGGTCTGTGTAGCCCTCCATTTTGTCAAAAAGTATTGGATACTTACTATTACTTTATTCACAAAATCAAATCATTAAACAGATATATGGATTTAATATGTCGCATGACGACACTTATTGGTATAATTTTTACTTACAAGTGACGTAACGAGCACCCACTCCCAAACTTTGACGCGTTTTTTCTTTGATTTTTTTTTGGTTGATTGACAAGAAAAAAAAATATTGTCCATTAGTTTTGGTTGATAACCTAATTGACGGACTAAAGAGAATTTCGTTTACATTTCTCCGTCGTCATCCCTGTTGGACTTGGACTGTTTCTATGACTAAGTGAAATAATGATTGTTATTTGAGACTAAACATTAACGTATTTACATAATTACGCACATTCACCTACAGTGCGAAATTATTAAACGGTCGTGTATGAAAATTCTCGCTCGTATACAATTGACATTGAACCTTACTGCCCCGACATAACGTGTTAATTTGAACAAATGCGTTAATATTATCATCAGACGCAGAACGGTGATCGGATGTTTTTTGATGTATTTTTGTTAGGTTACTTCAATGAAACTAACAAAAACAAAACTTCCATTTTATAGTTTCTTTTAAGGTTGATTTGTAAAAGTACCGAGGCTAAATTGCAGGTGCGCGCTTGCTCGGAATACACCCGAGAACAATGCGGACCGTGGTCGGAGAAGATGGAGGCAGCTACCCTGGACGGTATACCGGGGAAGCCTAGCAATGTGCATGTGAACTGCGACGAAGGTTTCATGAACATAACTTGGGAACCACCCGAGAAGCCCAACGCTGAGATCAAGGGTTACACGGTGAGTACTTTTTAATGTTAACAAACTGGTAAAATGGGGAAGAAAACTGCCAATTTATCTCGTCAGAGGCGCAGATAGCCCATAATGACAAATCGAGACAGCTGTTAAAGTCACAAGAAAAACCGGCAAATTCCAATAGACTGCGTTCCAAACCTACCCTACAGGTGCAACAAATGTTAAATATATATATATATATAAAACTCAAAGGTGACTGACTGACATACTGATCTATCAACGCACAGCCCAAACCACTGGACGGATCGGGCTGAAATTTGGCATGCAGGTAGATGTCATGACTTAGGCATCCGCTAAGAAAGGATTTTGATCAATTATACCCCGAAGCGAAGCGAGGGCGGGCCACTAGTTTGTCATAAGTTTCGTCCATTTTATGTCAAAATTGAAACGTCAGTGTAAAAGGTTGTCCTCAGAGCGTAGGTTTAGAACGCAGACTTGAAAGGTTGCTTGGGGCCAAAACGCCATCTGTAATAAGCTTTGCGTTCTTCCCCATTTCAAATGTTCCCAGATGTGTGTATCAGGAAAATATCCAAATGGTTTATGCAATCTGCGGATGCTTATATATGGGTAAATTTTATTCAAATTATCATAAATCTCTGCCATTAATACTACTATCAGAAAACCCATAATTCACGATAAAGGTACCCGGGCGATCACTCGCGGCTTGCTAGCCACGACAACGGCACTCAACATCTAAGGCAGACGCACTGTAGATTACTTGTAACCTCGTCTCATAAAAAACCAGAATTTAGAGATTCGCTTAATGAAAACAATTTAAAATGTAATCTTAAAATGTTGTTTTTAAATAATATGTTATGTGACAATGATGAATTGTGATGTGCGGTAAACTGTGACGCATCATTCAAACTTCAATATATAATATACTTTCCCTCCGTGTGACAATGCCGTGGGACGGCCCTGTATATGTCATATTATGATAGATAAAACCGTAATATATTTCTATATGTTACATTATATAATTATATCCCTAGATATAATAATACCCCGTAACATAGTTATACGAAAGCGATTCATTATGTGTATGTATATTGTGGATACCTCGGTTACCTTTACGATATCACAAAGCGATCTAATGTCAAACGCAACCTGCTAACATGCCACAAATACATTTTGGTTGGGTAATATGTATAGCCTATGCAAAAGTGTACGCTCAAACGTCATTACATTACTTCCACAGAACACAAAAAGTGCTAGAAAGGCCTTGTGGGTGGGGCAGGCAGGCCACAGTCATGTATAAGCAAATGCTCATAACTTGACTAAAACTTGGTTCTGATTGAATCTTTGCACTCGAGTGTGAAAGCTGATTGGTTCGATTGGTTGATGTCGCGTCGTTTGATTGGCTATTATCAATTAGGTGGAAGTGTAGTGGTGGCGAGCCGGTGACATCGGTTCCCATACAAACGGTCTATAAAATCACCCATCTAACCTCTTTCTGTGTTCTGTGATTAGTTCTATGCTTTGGTTCTTGTTCTGAGATCCTTATCTTTTACTGGAGGCCGATTATTGAAACTGGCCGTTAAATTTGTCAAAACCCTATTGCAGATGGAACTAACCGGCAATGCAACATACAAAGATCGGTACGGCACACTGAAAGAAGACATGTGGGGCCCCCTGTCTCGCTTTACCACCAACGACTCTAGGAGCGCCAGGTACAGCAATAACTGTGACTTTATCGCTCATAGTCAACGAATTAACAATAATATGAAATACGAACGGCGGTGAAACGTGGTTCCAGGCAAAATGCGATCAAGTGGGCGGGGCGAAATAATACGATCAACTCGCCGATCATGGGATTGATTGAGATTCCCGTTTAAAATTATCTTACCTGATGAATGGATAGCCGAATTAATTTGCAGATATTTGTTTCGTCATAGTATTTTTTTCGTGTATGTGCTTGTCGTGTTAGTATTGAAGTTTAGCTGTGTGTCTTTGAAACCATGTTTTAGCGGCCTTTAAAAAAATAAATATAAATCTCTTATCTATTAGACATGTCCGTCCGTCCGTCCGTGGTGCTGTTTCAGCGGCCAAACCGTAAGAGATAGATATAGAGAATGTTTAAGTTATAAGTTAAGAATAGTCTGATAAGACTACAAACCGGATGTGAGTAACGTAGCACTTCCGGTTTCCGAGAAATCACGTGATTTCTATTTCAAACGAAACCACACAAAATCTCCGAAGTTCTCAATTAATTTTTTTTTTGGTGAACATTTGGTTCACTGGTTTGCTAGTTAAATTAATTAAATAAATAATTATAAATATGAACCACCACCACTCCCACGATAAGTTAAATTAAGATATTTAATAAACTACCACATTTAATACAAAACTTTAAAATTTTCTAATTGATAAATTCATATTCATATTCATATTCATTTATTTATTTCGGACCATTTTACATCCATATTTTACATGTCATATTAAAATTAAATTAAATTAAATTAGAACAAAAATAAATAATAATAAATAAAAACAACAATAATAATAATAAATAAAAATAAAAATTAAAAATAAAAATTAAAAAATAAAAATTATAAAATGTCACACTATATAAAAGAAAGAGGGGATGCACTGACGTGCAAATGCATCCACCTCCTCAATAAAGGGGAATCCCACCGCTCGACCAACACATTCAGGATGCCGTTACCACACCCTCTCAGACGGCTTAATAAGGATGCACTTCTTTTTCGGACAATGGCATAGAAATCGTCTGCATGCGCCTCAGCGAACATGGTAGATGCACTACAAAATCGGGGCAAACCTAACAGAATCCTGAATGCATTATTGTATTGGACGCGCAGTGCGCCGCACGCCCGCTGCGTGAAGTTCAACCACAGGCTGCACGTGTAAAATGATTGACAGTAAGCTTTAAACAGTGTCACCTTCACTGGTACAGTACAGCGTGCAAACCTGCGGGCCAACATGTTACACCGAACTGACAGCGCCCTGCGCTCCCTCTCAACATCAACATTGTCGCATAGGTCATCAGTCACCCAGTGGCCCAGATACTTAAACTGCTTCACCAAGTTCAGTGGTGAGCCATAGAGCGTCACTTGAGGTACAGATGAGTAGGTTTTGGCACCAGCCTTGAAAATCATCAGTTCGCTCTTATTAACATTGTATCTGAGCCCATGGGTATCTGCATATACCTCACAGATACGCAGGAGTTTTCTTAGGGCCGCAATCGATGGAGACAGTAGCACCGTGTCATCGGCATAACTTATATTGTTAATACTAATCCCGTCTACCGAACAACCAACATTGGTACCACTGAGCTCACCGATCAGCCGGTTTATATAAAGGTTGAAAAGGCGGGGCGAGCTCAGCCCTCCCTGCCGCACACCGCACTCCAACAAATACACATCCGACATTGCGCTTCCCCACCTTACAGTATTCTGCTGATTACTGTACCAATACTTAAACAGTGAAGTTACCTCATGTGGCACGCTTGTTTCATTTCGGAGCTTCTGCCATAATTTGTCATAATTTACAAGATCGAAAGCTTTTGATAAATCCAGGTAACAGGCATACACAGGTGTTTTACGAGCAGTGTAATACTGAACAGTCTGCTTAAGACAGAAAATAGCACTCTCTGTAGACAGGCCGGGCCTAAAGCCAAACTGAGCATCATGCAAGTTAACGTGCTTTGCTAGTTGTTGATCAAGCAGACTGTCCAGTACCTTAGCCACTATTGTTGCCAACGAGATAGGCCTGTAATTGGAAACATTCGCGTGATCACCGGACTTATTTTTCACAATAGGCACAACCACTGTGCGCATTAAATTTTCAGGTAAGTAGCTATGACTTATACACAAATTAAAAAGCATAGAAAGTACTCTTGGTAAGTGTACACCTGCATGTCTCAAGTGCTCAATACTCAGGCCATCGTATCCAGGCGATTTACCTCTCTCCATTTTTGCAATGACATTAACAACATCTTTACTTGAGAATCTAACCGTTAAATCCCCTGAAAAAACCTCGTCGTCGAGCATCTGAGACACGCCCCCGAGCGGTGAGACCACCCTAAAGGACTGTTGGAAAACGCAAGCAATATGGCGGGGCTCACATGAACCACCCACATTCACAGGGAGACTCGACCTCGGGTTTAACTTATTTGTGTTTTTCCAAAAACTGGTGAAATCTTTATTAGCGTGATTTTCCGCAATTATATCCATTTTAATTTGTGTAGCATTATTTTGACAATATTTTAACTTATTTTTAAACATTTTTCTAGAATCAGTCATATTTTGAAATATATTACCAGAAATAGGCCTACCGCAAGCTACCCACTTTTGAAAACAAAGTCGAGCCCGCCTGTGAGCGGCCTTAACATGTTTATTCCACCCAGTGACATATTTATGTTTTTTCTTTCTACGTGACTGGCAGCTATTTTTCGCTGCTTTAGATAATATATTTACAATGTCATTATACAAATTATTTAACAATATAGTATGATCTTTGTTTTTACATATTTTGTCAGCACAACTACTAAGTTCTATAGGAAAGTCAATATTTTTGAGATCAGAATTACACAAACTATGATAATTCGATACCTGATTCGAGTCCCTTATCCCCCATGTCACACCACTTTGAGAAGAATTGTTAGAATTAGATTTTACAATCTTGGGTAGGATAATATTTAAATTACATTCAACTAATAGCGGATAGTGGTCAGACCAGTAGGTATCGTATAATACTGACACACTTAATATTAAGGGACGTGCGGCACACAATGATCAAGCCAGCGACGACACCCGTGTGCCCCACTCACAAATGTATAAGTAGTTAAAGGTAATAGTTCCAAGTCCACACAAGACCACAATTGATCGGCACAAAATGCACATAGTTCATTACAAAACAGCTCACCTGGATGTGCGTTGAAATCTCCAAGGATTACTACAGATTCAACACTAGCACTTTCGATAATAGCATTCAACTCACTCAGACACTCGGTGAATTCCGTTAGGTTTTCGTTTTTATCAGTAGGCATGTACACTGACGCCACAATGAAGGACCGATCGCTGAGCACTATTTTGACCGCGACGAGACGATCACTACGACAAGGTATCACCGTCACCGCCGAGAACTTCGCAGATCTCCATAGCAAGGCAACGCCTCCGTAAGGCCTCCCCCGTAGCACTCCAGCACTAGTGTCAACAGCTGACTTGCCCGTAAAGGAAAATGCCGGGTCAATGCTTCCCAGGAACGACACATCCTGAGGTAAAAGCCAGGTTTCTTGCAATGCAATTATGTCTGCCGAAAGACAGAGTCTTCTCACACATTCGATTGACCTTGTGACGTTTTTGCAGTTAAAACTTATTAATTTTGTATTACTACTATCCATTAATTTTATTTATAGGTTCAATGTCACGATATGATCTCGTAGTGTTTCTACTAAAATCCACAAAACGGCGATATAAAACGCCATTGGGCCAAAAATCATCTTTGAGAAACATTTCAAGGTCACGTCCCGGAACAAATACTTTGAAAGCATTGTAATTTCTTGATAATTTCATGTTCACCTTTTCCACTTGAGTTTCTAAATTACATTGATTTTTAATGTAATTTTTAATGTCACACTCTGTAGTTTCTTTTGATACATTATACAAATAAATGGGTATATTATTCTCGGCTGCTTTGAAATTAAAATTATTATCAACAATAGCTTTTCCAGACTTTCCTACAAAACGATTTCGTAGTCTCCGTCTTTGCACAAGAATCCAATCTTCGTTTGGAACTTGCGTCTTAAACTGACCCCCCGTAACTACATTCGAAAATAATTTCTTCACACTCTCATCGCTATTCTGTTTGTTTTCATGCGCCCGAATTACAATAGTTCCCGCATCCTCAGTAATATTAGTCATGTCGGCGGCGCACGTCGTCGGGAGTGCGGCGGCGGCGACCGCGACGTGACCCAGCTCACTCGGCATAGCTCGGCCGTCAGCTGACAAGCGGTCGGCTATCGTCGATTCGCTCGCAGTCACAGCCGGTGACCCGTTAGACACAAAATGCACGTCTGTTGGTATTTTCGTTTTACCCTCCTCAGAAAAAGTGATACGAGATTTTATAGGGCTCGCAGTGGAATGTTTATTGATTATTTTGTTTTCAGTACAAAGTGGTGACAAGCCCATCGGCCCGCTTTCACACTCAAAACTAGGCAAACATGTAGCACCTCTCGTCATATTTACATTTCTTGAAAAATTGTTCACAATCGATGCGGTCTTAAGCGATTCGATGTCAGACCGAAGTTCTTTTAACTGATCCAATGTTGCACACTCTTTAGAAAAACGGTCCAGATCACTCCTCATTCTAACAATATCTTTCAAAATTCGGGTTACATCGACGTGGTCAAATAGCACGGGAGGTAACTTCTGCAGATCTCGCGCCACAAACACCGGAATTTCTTCAGGGTCCGTCTCCTTCAATAAGCAGACAATGTCATCAATATCTCGCTGCGTTTTTCCAAGACGTTTTCTTATCTTTTTGCGCTTCGAGGTCGTTATGGATTCAAATAGCAAGTTTTTGGCATCCAATATTTCACTCTCCGAAAAAGCACTAACACATATTTGGGTGATACCCGGTTCGTCCATCACATCTATTTTATTACAAATGAAAGCTAAAACTTCATTTATCACCAAATTGCAACTTGTACATTTCACGACATTAGAAGCCATTGTTTATAGCAACGACTCACGCACACACGACCGGACGTCAGCGCAAGCGCCGGGCGACTGCTAAATGCTAAATGCTAAATGCTTCTATTCTGTGGATGAATATTAAAAATTCGAGTACTAATAATAATTTAATATATGAATGCACAAACTTATTACAAATCTTTATAAAGCAATAAAAAGTTAATAAGTGAGAACACTATCAAAAATCGCTAAACGTTAAGTTTTAAAAACTTCACATGATTTGACTGAAGTGAGAAGGAGAAGAGAGATGGCCTCTGTTTAGGTTGTCTCGGTCTGCCCGTTTTTTTTAACAAAATTAAATTAATTATTTAAACATCAAGCATTTACATGCTTTAAAATTATAAAAATTAAATTAAAGTTCTGACCACATAGATTCACGTGTTGGTGTATGGACACTTGATCTATGCGGTCAAAACAATAATTTCGCTGCACATTTTACGTACACAATAGGTTACAACATAAAATGGCGTTCAATAGATAGGTAATATAGTCATCTACAACTTCGCATCGGCTTTACACCATACTTCACTTGGCTATCCTTATCATGCTTTATAAGAAATGAGAAGGACAGACTGTTGTCAAGTCTACAAATAGCCAGCACGAATAGCCAAGTGAGGTGCCGGCATTTTAGGAAACATTTTGTATATTATTGGGTTATATTTTGTACAGGTTCGATTTGCAACCAAACAGCAAATATACGGTCCGTCTGAGCGCCATGACTCGAACGAGGAGACGAGGCGAAGAAGAGACTCGATACTGTGAAACTAGGCCTTTATCACCCGACGCCCCTCCCCGCCCGAGATGGAGAAAGGTTAATTTATTCATCATCATCAGCCTGTTGTCCCCACTGCTGGGGCACAGGCCTCCCCTACGGATGGAATAAGGAGACTGGCCCGTTGCCCACCACACGGGTACTAACAGTGGGTGCTAACGACTGCAGATGCAATTGAGACCGACGGCTTAACGTGCCTTCCGAAGCACGGAGGAGCTCGAGATAGTACATTTTTGGTCACCCATCCAATGACCGACCACTGCGAAAGTTGCTTAACTTCAACGATCGCAACCGCACTCGCAAAGCATTTGCGACATCAAGCTCTCCATTATTAAGTTCATTTATTGTAAATGACTATCTAGTTATTTGAAATCTAAAAAAAATACTAGAAACAAATCCACATGGCCCAGGCAGCAGACGGTACTCGAACCCGCACCTTCTGCTATCTGGACTGATGCACTAACCAATTATGCTAATATATTATACATGTGATAATTTACAAACTAAGTACCCACTAAATAAAAAATAACGGACCACCGGTTAAGAACCACTGATCTAATGAGTCCAGGATTACTTTAATGATCAATGCAACAAAGACTTCGTTCGTTGATTTCATAAATATAATTTTTAATCTATCTTTATCTATATTAGAATGTGTCTTTACAGATTCTAGAGAACAATAGGTACCTGTTCAAAATGTATCTGCCAAGAATAACAGAGAGAAACGGACCCATATGCTGTTATAGGTAATTATACGATAAATTTTGTATACTCTTGCGCAGCATACTCAAAGTACATACAACATTCTCCTCTGCACTCGGAGATTTCAATTCATTTTGTATAATTAAAGTCAATGCAGTCACTCTTTTTGTGTAAACAATGGAATGACATAAATAAATTACGTCACGACGTAATTCAGTAATATGACTCATCTTGTAAGTTGTGATGATGATGATAGTGTATGTTTGTAAATGTATTTACGATACTATAAATTCTGTGGAGTTTCTCGTGTCCATACTTATCCACAGCTAAATGAACATTATGAATGTACACTAAACTAAAGAAGTAAAACGTTAAAAGAAGTTTATTTATCATTTGTTTCGGAAACTAGACTATTAACGTATACATATATCTTTGATTTTTATGCGCCTAGATAGAGCAAACCAAATAAATTACTCAAAGAAAACTCACGTTTCGCGCTATGTGTGCCCGTAACTGTAATATCAGATTGTTCTAAAGCAGTCAATGTGTGCGTGTGTAGCGACGAGCATATCTACCAAATGTAGATATTTTTTGGGCCGCTTCCGTGCATTTAATACGGTATCTAGGGTGTATATGATCAAAGATCATTATAGTTACAATTGGAATTAAGTATTCTTAGCCGACTTCCAAAAAGAGGAGGCAGTTTTCAATGTTTTGTTATATTTTGTAGAGTGCATATGGTTCGTATGTTGCCGAACATGGATTGGAAGAATCTACCGCCGCCCAGAGACATAGCCGTCATAGACTACGGAGAAGCACATGCGGTACAACCAACACCGGGCGGTTATATCACGGATATATTCTCTAAGTAAGTCGTCTTGTTTGTGGAATGGTTCTAGAAAGATTTGAATGTATGCTTATAGCGATCGCTCAGTATTTTTTTTTGACGACCTCCGTGGCCGATTGGTATGTAGGCCGGGTATTATGGTGTCGTCAACTCGAGAGCTCCGGGGGTCGAATTCCGGTGGGGGACAGATGTTTGTGTGATGAATACGAGCATTTGTACTCCAGCCATGGATGTTTAATATGTATTTCTATATAAATATACTTGTATATGTTTCTATCCGTTACCCTAGTACCCCATAACACAAGCCTACAATGCTTACTTTGGGGCTAAGCTAATTGGTTTGTTTATAAAAAAAAAAATTTTCGTGTCTATTATAAAAATAAATCATTTTTTGTCTTTTCCAGCGATAAATTCCCATCCGACTCCGAGTTGATAATGGGCGATCTCAATTCCATATTCGACAAAGAGGACACCACTATATACAGCAAAGCTTGCCGGCGCTGTTTGATCCGGCCGCGGAACAATCCGCCCGATTATCCCATCCCCAACATACCTACCACTACGGAGGACGATCTGTTTGATGATACTACTGCAGCTCCTGTGGAACCTGAGAGGGCAAGGAGATCACCAGAGTGAGTAAAATCCACCTTTGTTGATGTGTAACATCTTTCCTCTCGCTTTCCTGCAATTTGTGGGAGTGATTTCGTGAAATGGGAAGGAAGTCGCGAAAGCGCGCTATTTGATTAGATTTTAGAACATAATGTTTAAATGACTTTTTCCTTTTGTAGTAGGTTTTTTCTTTTTTTACTAATAAATGTTACACATCGTACGCGACTACTGTAAGGCTCGCTCGTTTTTCTCTGCTATTTTTAGGATACCATTCCGTAGCTCGATCGGCAAAAACGAAACCATTATACGATCACTCGCTTGTCTGTCGGTCACAGTCGATTTGCTCCGAATCTACTGAACCGGTAAAGTTGAAATTTGGAACTTACATGTGTGTCTGTGGCCCAAATACGGACGAATAAAGTAAATAAATAAATTCTGAATATGGGCGTTACTTTTGAGTGGAGAATTAAAGACTTTGTTGGGAGGGGGGGGGGGGGGGGGGTAGACCGATATGTCTGCCAGTGATCCTACCCACAACAATTACTTTAGTAAATTCGTGATGATGGCACTTGAAACCAGACCCGTCTTTCCCAGTGGGCACTTTGGGCAAGTGCCCAGGGCCCCGCGATCGATAAGGGCCCACCTCAGATCACGTATACAAAGTCCTTAGTTCCTGTTATATCTCCAAACGGGGGTCATAAGGGCCCCATTATCCTAATATGCCCAGGGCCTCCAATAGGTCAAAGACGGCACTGCTTGAAACAGTGCTCTGAAAAAAAAACAAGGTACATTATGATTGCAATCTCTCTAGTAAAAAACTAGTTTATATTATACCCGTGAATAACCACAAAAAGTGTTCATGTCTAACTTTTTTTGTGGTAAGGCAAATAATATTTATTATATTTATTAAATAGAAGCAAAATGAAATCTACATGAATGAAATTTCTTCTGAGTGGTGTGTTTTTTTATTCTATGAGCTATTTCTTATTAGACGGTTCACGGATTTTTTTCACTTGCGCCTAATTAAATATTTACCATGTACAGTTACGTAATTTCTCCTAATGGACTTTTCTCTATAAACTATTTACAAGTGATGAATAACTTGTTTATTTTTTACTGAATTTAAATGAATCTGTATGTTTCACAGGGATTATTCCAACAATCCAATGATGAGAAACAACACGAACGAGGAGGACAAATTGAAGGACAACGAGTTGAATGTGAAGGACGGCCAACTCGACTCTTTATCCAACTATACACTCTTCGTCGAGTTGATACGTGAGTTTTAATAGTTAATCAGCCAACTGTTGTATACAAGACTTTATCAACACACATCCACGATAATGAGTCCTCTGTAAAATATTCTGAAACCATGGGGCGTAGCAAGACCTTGAAATTCTGCAAAATATACGGACGGCGCTGTGGCATTTAGATGTGATAATGTTTTTTTATTGTGACATTGGATGTTTTAATGTTATTGCAATAAGCTAATTGTTTCAGAATCTTTAATAGAGGTTTTAAAGTATTTTAAAGGTAAAAAGAAATGTATTCGGCAACGGCAATACCATGAGAGAGAGATACCAGCAAGATATTTTGATTTTAGCTGAAATGCTAAGAATATTATCTTTTAATCGTTGGCTGGCAACGGTGAGTCCAGACCTCGCCCCATTTGGTTTGATTTAGAAATCGTTCGTTTAACGAAAAATAAAACGTGATATCTCATTATACCCTTGTAATATTTTTCCATGAATCCTCTATAAAATATTCAGAAACCATGGGACGTAGCAAGAGCTTAAAATTTATCAAAAGTTTTGACATTGAATTTTGCTTATTATATTTTTAATTACTAGATGTTTACATTAAAAAAAATTTTACTAAAAAAAATCCACGCGGTCCAATCTTTTGCCTCTTGGAGGAGCTCGATAGCGCAAGTAGTAAGCGCGTTCGGCTGTGATCGTTGAGGTTAAGCATCTTTTGCAGTGGACGGTCATTGAAAGGGTGACCAAAAATTTACTATCTCGTGCTTCAGAAGGTACGTTAAGCCGTTGGTCCCAGCTGCATCTGCAGTCGTTAGCACCCACCAATACGCACTTGGCACGCGTGGTGGGTCATGGCCCAATCTCCCTATCCGGTCCACAGGAAAGTCCTGTACCTTTCCTGTGGACGGTAATGTGTAAAAAGTCCTGACAATTAAGTCTCAAAATGCAAACATCACCCACTTAGTTACAGTGATATTATACGTGGTAGCAGACGCTCGCATCGCGAGGGCGGTCTTGTTGTTGATTTTGAAAGATAATTTATATGTTGTTTTAAATTAATGAGAACTTAATAAAGATTATGTGACTTATTTGATATAAACTGATAAATAGTTTTACTCATATACCATCTAATTAAAAAAACTGGACAATTAAAAAGCCGGACAAAGGCCGGACGGGAGGCAAAAAGTCTGGACATGTCCGGACAAATCCGGACGGATGGAAACCCTACCTGTACCCCAACAGTGGGGACACTAATAGTCTGATGGTGATGAACTTCTTTTGCAGCGGGTCAACCCCACTTGGAGCCGATGTATAGTGAGTATGTGATCCCGCTGATGCCGGCGCCCAGTCCACCAGCCATTGTTCCTTCCAGTGCGATAGAGATAGCATTACAGGTTAGTTGGAAGGCAATAAAACATTGCTGTTGATAATTTGTTTTTCAGAAATTCGAGGAAATCTTCGGCATTATCCTGTAACATTAATAATTAAATATATCCAATGTAGTAAATTACATAATAGAAAACTTAAAGATATGTTGTGTTATTTAAATTAAACAATATATGTTTCTTAGGTTTTCACGCACATCACTCATTAAATAAAACTAGTTTTTACGGGTCGTCAGAATCAAACTTTTAATAAAAGTTCAAAAGTTCAAACTTTAAAATAAATAAAGTTTCGTGCATTAACCCGTAAAAACTACTTTTATTTAAACAATATATTTTGGATGTAGGTCCACTTGCAGTAATTTTGCTAAATCTCAATTTACCTAAAACTAGATTTAGCCCATAGAATTATGTCCATTGACATGGACGTGTCGTTTTGACATTTTTCCATGGTTTAAATCGTATTTTAATTAAATTTAGATTTAGAAATTTTGTTGCAAGTGGGATTTAGAAGTTAAGACTTCTAAATCCGAAATATTGTGTAATATGCAGATATTAATTATTCATTGAACCAAAGTTAGGTAATAACAGGTATATTTCATGTCAGAATTAAATAATTTTTAACTATTTAATTATTTTTTTTGTCAATTAGTAAAATTTTATAAACATCCTAACCCCCTTATTAATAAACAATTGACACTTGAGTGATACGATCATACCACACAGTAATATGCTTATCCTCGTTTATTACTAAGGGGGGTATCTGATTTAACTTCAATCAACTTTTGTATTTAGGGGACTAGAGTATAGTTAATTTTCTCATATCTTTCAGGTAACATGCGCAGTGGCAGCGGTAGTACTGTTAATAATGATAGTGTTCTGCTTACTGCAAGCTCGACGGTCAAGAAAAGTGCCACCTCATGCGCCCCTTGAGATGAACCGTATACAAGCTGTGTTCAGGTATTGTATCTATGTACTAGCGGCCTAAGATTCATTATTAGTACACCTCTACGCCATCTCTAGAGCATACAAATGTTAAATTTCAAGTTTCTTACTTTAAAAACATGGGACTTTCATACAAATTTTTAACCCCCGTATTACCGCCTTAGAGGTGGAGTTTCGTAATAATATGTCTAAATTTAAATTTAGTTAACTTCTAACTATATTTTTGGCTTTGGTATCGATTGAAGATCACACCCCGTAATGTACAGGAAATGTACTCAACCAATGTTATTAATGAATATAAATTTAAAATGTATTACCTACTAAATAGTCCTCTAGAAAGTGTATAAGGGCTAAAGGAGTGGCTCTCATACACATAAATCTTGACAGGTTTTCGTGGATCAATTTTGTTAATTGTTGCCTTTTAATATTAAGGAAGGCCCAATTCGGGCTAGATCTAAGACTAAGTTTGACAACAGTCTTTCTTTGTCATTCCCTAAAGAAGAGTGGTTTTTAATAGGTGGTCTCTGGAAGTATCCAAAGTAGTCAGCGAAGCCATTCGAAATATGACATATTTAAAAACGCTAATTGATTTACTAAGAGCAACTGCTAAAGAGCATGATAAGAGCATACTATTGTCAAATTTAGTTTAAGGCTTAGAGAATCAGGCGCAATCAATGAATTAGAAAGAATATGTAATACGAATTGCGCGCGAATAGATTAGTTCCACGCAAAAAGCGATCAAGTGGGGCGAAAAAAGTGCGATCAACACGCTAATCATGGGATTGATTGGGATTTCCGTTTAACATTATCTTGCCCAATAAATGGATAGTCCAATTCATTTGCAGATATTTGATTTGTCAAAGTATTCTGTTTTGCCTGTTTGTGTCTAGTTTGCATTAAACTTTAGTTGTATGAGATTGGAACCCATGTTTAAGAGAGTAATGCATGTCATTTTTAATTTGTTGGGAGCAATAGCTTCGTTTAAACTTCTATTTAGTTTTACCAGTTAAGCCCAGTATTAATTACACAAATCTTATATCGTTCAGATATGTGGTTGGCCACATCGGGGGCCGGCAGATGGCATTATCCGCGACGCCACCCGACGTGCCGCCCATTCCGCGAGACCAACTAGCTGCCGCCTACGCCGAGCGGCAGGCGGACTGCGACTACGGCTTCCAGAAGGAGTTCGAGGTGCGTACTATCCAGTGTAGCGCCGCCCTCGTGACGTCACCCGCACGGGCCGGTGTGGACTAGTGTCGCCGCTCACGCCGAGCGGCAGGCGGACTGCGACTACGGCTTCCAGAAGGAGTTCGAGGTGCGTACTATCCAGTGTAGCGCCGCCCTCGTGACGTCACCCGCACGGGCCGGTGTGGACTAGTGTCGCCGCTCACGCCGAGCGGCAGGCGGACTGCGACTACGGCTTCCAGAAGGAGTTCGAGGTGCGTACTATCCAGTGTAGCGCCGCCCTCGTGACGTCACCCGCACGGGCCGGTGTGGACTAGTGTCGCCGCTCACGCCGAGCGGCAGGCGGACTGCGACTACGGCTTCCAGAAGGAGTTCGAGGTGCGTACTATCCAGTGTAGCGCCGCCCTCGTGACGTCACCCGCACGGGCCGGTGTGGACTAGTGTCGCCGCTCACGCCGAGCGGCAGGCGGACTGCGACTACGGCTTCCAGAAGGAGTTCGAGGTGCGTACTATCCAGTGTAGCGCCGCCCTCGTGACGTCACCCGCACGGGCCGGTGTGGACTAGTGTCGCCGCTCACGCCGAGCGGCAGGCGGACTGCGACTACGGCTTCCAGAAGGAGTTCGAGGTGCGTACTATCCAGTGTAGCGCCGCCCTCGTGACGTCACCCGCACGGGCCGGTGTGGACTAGTGTCGCCGCTCACGCCGAGCGGCAGGCGGACTGCGACTACGGCTTCCAGAAGGAGTTCGAGGTGCGTACTATCCAGTGTAGCGCCGCCCTCGTGACGTCACCCGCACGGGCCGGTGTGGACTAGTGTCGCCGCTCACGCCGAGCGGCAGGCGGACTGCGACTACGGCTTCCAGAAGGAGTTCGAGGTGCGTACTATCCAGTGTAGCGCCGCCCTCGTGACGTCACCCGCACGGGCCGGTGTGGACTAGTGTCGCCGCTCACGCCGAGCGGCAGGCGGACTGCGACTACGGCTTCCAGAAGGAGTTCGAGGTGCGTACTATCCAGTGTAGCGCCGCCCTCGTGACGTCACCCGCACGGGCCGGTGTGGACTAGTGTCGCCGCTCACGCCGAGCGGCAGGCGGACTGCGACTACGGCTTCCAGAAGGAGTTCGAGGTGCGTACTATCCAGTGTAGCGCCGCCCTCGTGACGTCACCCGCACGGGCCGGTGTGGACTAGTGTCGCCGCTCACGCCGAGCGGCAGGCGGACTGCGACTACGGCTTCCAGAAGGAGTTCGAGGTGCGTACTATCCAGTGTAGCGCCGCCCTCGTGACGTCACCCGCACGGGCCGGTGTGGACTAGTGTCGCCGCTCACGCCGAGCGGCAGGCGGACTGCGACTACGGCTTCCAGAAGGAGTTCGAGGTGCGTACTATCCAGTGTAGCGCCGCCCTCGTGACGTCACCCGCACGGGCCGGTGTGGACTAGTGTCGCCGCTCACGCCGAGCGGCAGGCGGACTGCGACTACGGCTTCCAGAAGGAGTTCGAGGTGCGTACTATCCAGTGTAGCGCCGCCCTCGTGACGTCACCCGCACGGGCCGGTGTGGACTAGTGTCGCCGCTCACGCCGAGCGGCAGGCGGACTGCGACTACGGCTTCCAGAAGGAGTTCGAGGTGCGTACTATCCAGTGTAGCGCCGCCCTCGTGACGTCACCCGCACGGGCCGGTGTGGACTAGTGTCGCCGCTCACGCCGAGCGGCAGGCGGACTGCGACTACGGCTTCCAGAAGGAGTTCGAGGTGCGTACTGTCCAGTGTAGCGCCGCCCTCGTGACGTCACCCGCACGGGCCGGTGTGGACTAGTGTCGCCGCTCACGCCGAGCGGCAGGCGGACTGCGACTACGGCTTCCAGAAGGAGTTCGAGGTGCGTACTGTCCAGTGTAGCGCCGCCCTCGTGACGTCACCCGCACGGGCCGGTGTGGACTAGTGTCGCCGCTCACGCCGAGCGGCAGGCGGACTGCGACTACGGCTTCCAGAAGGAGTTCGAGGTGCGTACTGTCCAGTGTAGCGCCGCCCTCGTGACGTCACCCGCACGGGCCGGTGTGGACTAGTGTCGCCGCTCACGCCGAGCGGCAGGCGGACTGCGACTACGGCTTCCAGAAGGAGTTCGAGGTGCGTACTGTCCAGTGTAGCGCCGCCCTCGTGACGTCACCCGCACGGACCGGTGCGGACTAGTGTCGCCGCTCACGCCGAGCGGCAGGCGGACTGTACGCACCGTAAAATTAGTTCCGATTTCGGCCACGTGCCACGGGATCTTGGTCGCACTGTGTATTTAAAATATAATGAGTTTCTTACGACCATTCTTCACATCAGCTAAAAGATTTATTTTTACTTTATCACAACTTAACATCAGGTGGGGTAGAGCCATTTGCCTATCTGGCTATATATTAAAAAAACGTCTAGAATGGGTGGTAGGAAAGACATTGGACGATTATAAAGAGCTTTCAATAAGTCAATTTGAATGAAATATAATTTCATTTTTGGAGATATTAAGTGTCGCACACGGGCAACCGACCACAACCACAAAACGCCGCCACCGCCATATTTCTTGTAGTTTTCATACATTTTATGTGGACTCGCCACACACGGTACGCCGGTGGCCGCCACACGCTACAAATAGTCGTTGCTCGCTTCTTGTGGCCCGCACCGGCCACTTAATGCGGCGATATAAAACGCCGCCACACGTCACTCACGCGATTCCCCACCCCTCTCTCCCTTGCCTTAGTCGGCGCTTCAGCCACTTTAGTAGCCGCTTCTAGCTTCTCGTGGCGGCGTTTGTGGCTGTGGCGTGTGGCCCGTGTGCGGCGACACTAACTCTTTCAGTAGAATATTTAATGCGCTTTACTCTTATTAACAGTGTTATCGTCCGTAGACTTTTTTTCGTCCGTTTACTTGACAAGTAAATTTCACGGAAGCGCAGACCCTGTGACAACTAGAATTCGCTTTTGACATACTTTTTCAGTATGTAATGAATACGTTATATGTCTCATTCTAGTTTCTGTGTCGTATGTTTAATACGCTAAGAATGCTAATTGTATTTCTCAAATATTTTCCTTTATTATTTCTCGAACATTTTTTTTCGTATTGATATCATCCTGTTGAGCAGTGCTGTGCTATGCTTATACATTGGGCTTTGCAACATTAAGAAAAATTCTGTCAATCACATCATCTAGCTAACTTATATAGTTACAGTAGTCGCGTATGATGTGTAACATTTGAGACCTCACCTTATATTAATTAGTAAGAAAAGAAATGAAACCTACTACAAAAGGAAAAAGCCATTTGAACATTATGTTCCAAAATCAAATCAAATAGCGCGCGCTTCCCAAACTTCCTGTTACACACTTCCGTCCCACTTCACGTAATCACTCTCAAAAATTGCACGAAAGCAAGAGGAAAGATGTTACACATCAAAAATAGCATCCCATTCGTAGCGAATATTTCTGAAATTATTATTGGGATATGCAACATTGAGTAAACTTCTCACATCATTAGCTATGTGATACAGAAGTCTCATCTAATTAATCTATTTATGTATAAAAAAACAGCTATGTTATGTTATAGTTTTGTTTATAATAATATCCAGTATTACCTGATAATTGCGAATGTGTTAATTTGTATGCATGTATCTCATTGAATAGCAAATTTAAACGAATGCCAAAATTAATAAAGTTGTTACAGATGCTGCCCGAATGCTTCCCGGATAGAACCACTCACGCTTCTGAAGCGCGAGAGAACCAACCCAAAAATCGGTACCCGGATATAAAGGCCTACGATCAGACCCGGGTGAAGTTGTCCCAGATCGACAGCATCACCGGATCTGATTACATCAACGCTAACTACGTTTCTGGATATAGGGTGAGTCGATGCTTGACAGTTAATACCCGGTTATCACCCGGTTGAAACTAACAATGTGTTCCTTTTGAATTGCGATAACTTTGGCATTACAAAGATTAGAAATGATTGATTATCAATTTTTAAACAAATAATTGACCCTTTCATTATAAATGAGAATTTGTATGGATATTCATAAAAAAAGATAAATTCAAATGTATATAAACGCGTGTATGTATATGTATAGAGAAAGTAATCTACATACAATAGACTTCACTTCCCTAGAAGTTACTAAACTGAATTAGGAACGTAGTTTCTACCAACCTGAAAATGATAGTCAGAGGTATCAACATTTAAAGTGTCAATGTCAAAGCAATAGAGATGTACCACTATGTCATCGATATCAATATATATTTAGTAGTATCTCTTTTCTTCATTTTTATATTTTATCATTAGCAGGAAAATAAGTAGAACTGATGATATTGTGGATCGCTCCCTTCTAACTCGCACTGAATTTGGTAGACGTCAATATCCCTCACAAAGTATTTTCATTTACAATACTATAAACAGAAAAATATGTTTTATTAAAACATTTTTTTAGTAAAAATGGAAAATATAACTGAACACTACACTGATAAACGCGCGAGTTGCGATAGGTGTAATAGTAATAATCTTTCAGATGCTGGCCAATATGACGTGTATAATAATGATCATAATTTTCAATGTTTGCACAAAGTACGTTCCTAATTCTATATACAGTAGACCCGCGGTAATCCGACAAACGTTTTGCAGGTCGATGTCGGATTATCGATTTTCTCGGACTACAGAATAGATACTGCCTAAGACCACCCTCTATAGACCGGAATCTTTGAAATAAGAGTACCTTGTAATCCGACAAATTAAAAATCTAAAAAATCTTTTTCTATTGATTTTATGTGCAAATCATCAGCGATAAGCATGTCGGATTATCGGTGGCGCCGGATTAGACGGGGTCTGGATTGCCGCGGGTCTACTATATTGTAATTTTTGTATGAAGTGACGACGGTATGTGTATGTATATCGTGAATAGAAGTAATATTATCCAAGAGTTGTGGTTACACAAGTAATATTTTTTTAGTAAAAGCTTTGAAAAAAAGATCCTGTAGGGTGGTTAATATTGCTAATACACACATTAGTTTAAGAATTTGTAAATATCATACACAATTTAATATATAAAAAATCTGTTCACATATGTATATGTCGCTTACTTTCATTTCCACCTTGTGTATGTGCGTCTAACTGTGTTTGTCTGTCTATCCTGTGCTTACTCAGGACCCTTCGGAGCCTAATCAGGTATTGCATGCAAGTGTTTTATGTGTATATATGTTGTGTTTGTATTTTTATGTATTTAATTTTCATTATAGTATTTACAAATTGCTATTTTTTATTCTATTCAATATTACACATAGATAAAGAAATACATATTATAGGTAGGTATTCTGCTTAATATACCCATCATTTCCTTTATATTTTTTATAACATCTCGAATATCACTTTTTAAGCTATTAATCAGTCTAATGGCCTTCACTTCACTTGGCTGTTCGTATCTGCTATTTGTAAACTTGATAACTGTCTGTCCTTATCATGCTTTCTAAAGAATGAAAAAGATATTCTGATGTCAAGTTTACAAATAGCAAACATGAATAGCCAAGTGAAGTGCCGGCATAAAAGTTTCAACTGCAAATATTTTTAATCATGCAATACAATTATGCTTCAACTTTTTTCTTATTTAATGAAACATGATATTGAGAATGATTTTATGGCGGAGTTGCCAATGCAAATATCTGAAAACATAAGCTTAGTAATAAATATTAAAACTACTCATAATTCTTCTTTAATTTTACATTAAGTTTTACTGCTATACTTTATCAATATTGTTATTTATTCTTGCCTTATTTCATTTAATATTGTGAATGTTTGGTTATAGCTGAGCTTATAATGCTCCGCACAATTTTGCACAAGACCTAAAGAAAGCGATTAATTTTAGAAGCTGTTTCTGAGCTATTTTATTATCATTGGTAGCGATGTATCTATCTAATTTCATTTTACGTTAAGCTTTCATTCACGTTCTTCTTAACCGCTTATTTTTCTTACAGGACCGTAAACTGTTCATATGCGCGCAAGGCCCCACAGACACAACGGTGAACGACTTTTGGCGCATGATATGGGAGCACGGGCTCGAGCTGATCGTGATGCTGACCAACCTGGAGGAGTACTCGAAGGTCAAGTGCAGCAAGTACTGGCCCGACGAGGTGCGAGGCTCCAGGGCTTTCGGAGCTATCACTGTGCATCATGTGTCGGAGAAGAGGTAATTCTATCAGCAAGATATTTAGTTGATCGCGATTGACAGCTTCGTTACGTAACGCGGCGGCAGTCTGTCCGACTTCCCTTCGCCGCAAAAGGAGATAGACGGCACACCCCGCCAAGGTACCTCACACATCAATCCCCACTATCACCCACCAATCCCCTATTATCACCCATCAATTCCTTTTATACTTTCCAATCTCTTTTCAAACTCAAACTCATTTATTCAGTCTAGGCTGTTACAAGCTCTTGTGAAAGTCAAACGCTTCATAAATGTACGGCGGGAGAACTGGCAAGAAACTCAGCAAGGGCTATTTTTTCTCCTTGTTTTGTTTCATACAGTGTCGTCAATTGAAAGATGACATCAAGAATTGCAAAACATGACTGTGTTGATGTCAACTTTCATCACATTAATATTATTAATTAACAGTAACTTAATTATAGCTAGGTGATATTTTTAAAAGTGGCGATTAAACAATTTTCAACCAAATTAGCAAAGTAAAACGACTTAGTCTATTATATTAAGCCCATGGTGCCTTATCATTTATGAAATCTTTAAACAGTATAGTAACCTTTCTTAAAGAGACATGTTTTTATACATACTTTAAACTTATTAATAGGTAAATTAATTATTACTTTTCTCTCTCCGATCCCCTTTTCACCTACCAATCTTCTGTGCTCATTTAGTTTAACAACTTTCTGATGTAGATACTCCTCTCTCACTCTAACCCGCAGCGTCGCTTAGATTAGTTTAAGTTATCACTTCTGTCGAACGTCCCGACAAGCTTATTTTTTAAATTACAACATTTTTCTCTTGTTACAGATACTCTGATTATATAGTGAGAGAGTTGAAGATCGTCAAACAGCCGACTAATTCTGAAGGTCAACCAATCGTAGATAATAACGGCGTCGCCAAGAGGAATGGGGGTAAGAATAATTTTGTAATTCATCGTAGTGTGTATTGATGTTTGTTTATAAAAAAGATCAGAAAAAAATTCACGCAAAGCTTACTTATAAACATGTACTTGTACTTTTTATTTCCAAAAGACTGCTTAGTAATTACTTGTTTGACAATAGAAATCTTCAATAAAACAAATGGTTACTTACATAGCAACGAAAATGGTCACTATTACTTGATTATAACTCGCGATCAATAAAAAATACTAATCGCAAAAGACGACGTAAGACATTTTGTCCCTCTCGTAAGTAAAGTGCGAGAGAGACAGAAAGTCTTGAGTCGACATTTTCGATACGTTTCTTTAATGGCAAGCGTTATAAGAATTCTCTTATTTAACAGTTTTTAATTGATCAATATCTTACATGAAATGAAAAATGTTGTTAAAGTCATTACTTAAACAGAAGTAATGTCTTTTGCTTGCTTATAAATCACGATGATAATAAAAGATACTTACCAAAACTTTCCTTTACTGTAAATATGTAATTTAATGTTTGTCAATGCCAAGCTTCCCAATCATTATTCTTGTCACTTGTAAATCTGCTCTTATGTGTGCGTCTTCTTCCTATTATGTATTTCAGCCGTTTTCCTTTTCTGTGCTAGAGAAATATGTAAAACAAACTCTCACGAATTACACTTAACGGACATGGAGAAATAAAGTAACTGTGAAATGTCCGGGAACTCGATGGCGCAATAGCTAGTCCGTTTGGTCTGCGACCGTGGCGTTTTGCAATTTTTGTCATGTTTTGTCAAAGGCTGGGTGACCAAAATTTATCATCTCCAGCTCCTCTTCAACCCACACTACTAAAGCAAAACCCTTTTCTCCCTATTAGGGTAGGCCAGTGCCTCAGCTGTGCGGACATTATTAAAATAATTATAATGACCAGAATTTATTCGTTTATTCTAAAATCTCATAGTTACCCGTTCAGATTGTAAGGATGCATCCGAATCCAGTGACATTATTTACCTGATGGTGGTGATTTGACCAGAGACCTAAGTACGAATTTTACAACTCCGTAACCGTATCGCATCGTCGAAGTTTCTATGAAAACTAAACAGCGCCCCCTACCGGCGTAAGAACAATCTGGCTACTTTCATACAAAATTTGACGATGACATTATGATTACGGAGATGTCAAAATTCGTGCTTGGGCCTCAAAATTGATCCGTTCATTCTCAAATCTCATTATTTCTCTATCAGATTGCAAAGACGCATCCGAATCCAGCGCCCCAACCTCTCCCAGGGAAGCCAAGGACACATCAGAGACTCGCATCGTGAGACAGTACCATTTCCTCATGTGGAAGGACTTTGCGGCACCAGAGCATCCACATTCCATACTGAAATTCATTAAGGTTAGATGTGAGATTAAGTTAGACTAAGGTTAGTGTGATGAGAGAGATTAAGTTAGATTAAGGTTAGTGTGATGGAATATCTAATACCCCCTTATTAATAAACAAAGAATAAGCTAGGATTAGTTACTCCATGTTCTGTCTCTGTTCATTGAATGACAAATGGCATTTGAGTGACATGAACAAAAGACGGCTTAACTAGTTTAAGCTTATTTTTTCTTCTTTGTTTATAAAAAGGGGGGTAGAGATAGTTCAAAGTATGGAGGTTGTAAATTAGCAACAAGCTAAATTACGCGCAAGTACAGAGACTCAATTAATTTAATACCATCGAGAAGAGATAGACGTTGAGAATGAAAAATCTCTCTAGAAAGAGAGAACACTGTTCTTCGGCCGAAATCTATTCGAAATACGGACTCACTGCGCCTCATCTCTTTCTCGCACTTTCATTCCTGTTGACTTTATTGCTGGTTAAGGAAAATTCAATCCATTTTCTTATGTCTATGGCAAATATCCTTTGTGCAAACCTGAATTTAATTTATTGTACTGCGACTTACGATGTTTTAATAGCCACTATGCCACCATTAAGTAATGAACGCAAAGTTTGACCAAAAGGGTATTCCTAACATGCTCTTTAAAAAATTAAAAGAAGATATTTCTATTAAATTTTGTAGATCACTAACTTTGCGATAGCTGATTTGAAATTGTATTTAAATCTTACTGTAGACAAATTGGTACTAAGTGTACTACATCAGTTATTATATATTGTTACGCTGCATCGTTTGATTGTATAAATACAACTAAAGCCCACTTGCAGCAAATTTGGTTAAACTTGATTCAACTAAAATATTAGTTAATCCCATAGAAAAATGACAAAACGTTAATGTCAATTTGACATTATTCTAATTGCTATATCTAGTTTTAGTTTATTTGAGATTTAGCAAATTTACTGCTAGCGAACGTAAGTTTTAAAATCAACGGGCAACAAAATAAAATCTTTCGGCAGTGGCCAAAAATTTAATACTATTTTTTATATATATGTTTTTTTAATTATCTTTTTACATTTTATTTTTCTTTTCACATACAGCGCGTGAACGAAGCGTGGTCCAACGTCGTCGGTCCAGTAGTCGTCCATTGCTCAGCCGGCGTCGGTCGAACCGGCACTTTGGTCGCGTTAGACTGCCTTCTAGAGCAACTGAAGGCCACCGGGCAAGCGGCAGTATTCAATACTGTGTGCGAACTGAGGCGGCAGAGGAACTTCCTCGTGCAGTCATTGGTGAGTGGAGAATCAAAAAGAATAAAAAAAACAGTCTAGGCTGTTACAAGCTTTTGTGAACGTCTCTCTATGCCATCGGTGCGTAAATCTACGGCGGGAGGACTTGAACCGAGAAGAACCGGCAAGAAACTTAGCAAGGGCAATTTTTTCTCCATGTTTTATTTCATACAGTGCCGTCAATTGATAAGATGACATCAAAACTTGAAAACGTGTAATGTTGTCAAGTTCCATCGCATTTTTGAAAATTAGATAAGCATCCATTTATGCAATTGAAAACAAAAACTGGTCTTATAAAATTAAGCACAAAGTGCTTTGTCATTTTTATTTAAGTATTTACATACGGCCCAGTAGTCGTGCATTGTTCCGGCCACAGAACACAGAAAGAGGTTAGAAGGGACTTGTGGGCGGGGCAGGCGCGCCACAGTTATGTGTGAGCAAATCATAACTTGCTCATAACTCATAACTTGACCAAATCTCGGGTCTGATTGCTTCGTTGCTCTCGGGTGTGAGCGCTGATTGGGTCGATTGTTTGATGTCGCGTCATTTGATTGGCTATTATCTATTAGGTGGAAGTTTAGTGGGGGGAGCCTGCGACATCGGTTCGCTTACAAACGGTCTATGAGGACCCTTTTAACTTCTTTCTGTGTTCTGTGGTTCCGGCACTTTGGTCTTAGACTGTCCTCTTTAACAACTGTTGGCCAAAAGGCAGGCGGCAGTATTCAACACTGTGTGCGAGCTGAGGCAGCAGAGGAACTTCCTCGTACAGTCGCTAGTGAGCTGACCAATAAAAAAGAAATGTCATTGCAGCATTTAAAAAATCCTATACCATCCATAGGAAATGCCTGTGCCCCAGTAGTGGGGAAAGGCTGATAATGATTTAAAAATAAAAATGAATGACAAAACAATTTTGCATTATATCCGCTTAAATTTTAAAAACCCTACGATAGGGACTTAGAAGAAGCTCCAATAAGCGAGGACACATGAGAGAAATCCTAAAGTCTAATCAACCGTTAACGTTAAATTATCGTCGTGAAATATTACTTAAACGGGCCAACACTTCTTGGTAATTAAAGAATCAATCCCTAATGAAATGTTATATTATGTGCATCCTATATCCTATTCAGAATGCGTTATCTGAGATAAGGATCTATACTGTCACATAATGCATCACGGAAAGGATGCGAAACATCAAGGTATGTAAAAAAGTATTGAATTATAAACCTGTTAAACGTAAAGAAAATTTTACTAGAAAAGAATCCATGCGGCAGACGGGACTCGATTTTGATTTAAACATCTTAAATTAAAACAAAACCGTTATTTAATGATTGGTGTGTTTGAAAACATAAGAAACAAATATCTCTAACAGATGTAATTATCTCTTACAGAAACAGTACGTCTTCGTGTACCGAGCGTTAGTAGAATACGCTCACTACGGAGACACGGAGATCCCCGCGTCCCGCCTCAAAGCTTCCATTGACCGACTCCGGAACACCCCCGAGGGGGGAGACAAGTGCCTCATGGAGCACGAGTTTGAGGTAAACTTTATTTTGTATATTATTTTCAGGGTTCCCTGAAACCATCCATTAATTATATAATAAGATTATCGATCCCACAGTGCCTAAAGACGAAAGTCAACGTGGACACTGACGGTACGGCTGGTCCACAAGTTCAAAGTCGCTCAGCGCGCTATGGAAAGATCGCATCGGAAATGAGGTGATCCCACAGATAACTAGAGTTATCGACATAGCCCACCGGATTAGCAAGTTGAAGTGGCAGTGGGCTGGCTATATTTGCCGCAGAACCGATAACCGTAGAAGAGTTCTGGAGTGGAGACCGCGTCTAGGCAAACGTAGTGTATGACGTCCTCAGGCACGGTGGAGCGACGATTTGCGCAAGGTGGCTGGCAGGAGCTAGATGCGAGTAGCCCAAGATCGATCTCAGTGACGTACAATTGCAGAGGCCTATGTCCAGTAGTGGACTAAGATAGGCTGTTGATGATTGATGATGATGAATATAACTATAATTTATATAATAGAGTGTACTCCTTCCTTAAAGGCCGGCATCGAATTTGTGATACGCCTGGTGTTGTGTCTATGGGCAACGGTGATCACCTTACCAGCGTGAGCCGTCAGCTCCTATGCCCTATAATATTAACAAAAAGATGATATCCTTGGATGGATGGGTGGATATTGTTGTTAGCGGGTTAAGACAGGTAGGGCATAGCGGATTTTCCGCTCGGATTTGAGCGCCCGTCTGGGGAAATAACCTCCATCTTACAGAAGACCACAGTAAAATAACACTACCATTTGATGGTGTTGTTTTCGTTTGAACGTTTGTCTGCTCGTTGCTTCATTTTTGACTCATTCATTATATTGATATCTCTTCGTATCTTATGTATTATTATTCACGACCAATATATTTTCTCGTCCGGCACAGAAGATGATAAACAGCCCAGTAGCCGAGCCAGTGAAATCTTGCGCTGCCGGCGCTAGTGAAGAAGTTCGCGCTAAAAACCGAAGTCACGACTGCCTGCCCTACGACCGGAACCGGGTCATTCTCACCCCTCTACCCGGGCGAGACTTCTCTACCTACATCAACGCGTCCTTCATCGAGGGTAAGTCACCACAAGAACCGAAGCCCCGACTGCCTGCCCTACGACCGGAACCGGGTCATCCTCACCCCTCTACCCGGGCGAGACTTCTCTACCTACATCAATGCGTCTTTCATCTAGGGTAAGTCACCACAAGAACCGAAGCCCCGACTGCCTGCCCTACGACCGGAACCGGGTCATCCACACCTCTCTACCCGGGTGTGACTTCTCTACCTACATCAACGCGTCCTTCATCGAGGGTAAGTCACCACAAGAACCGAAGCCCCGACTGCCTGCCCTACGACCGGAACCGGGTCATGCTCACCCCTATACCCGGGCGAGACTTCTCTACCTACATCAACGCGTCCTTCATCGAGGGTAAGTCACCACAAAAATATGGGGAATTAAAAGATACAATCCTGTAGTAAATAGAACCTCCTTTTTTTAAAGTATGTTAGTAATGAAAACCTTCAAGTTATCATTCATTCATTGAAGTCGTGCAGCACCGTTTTGAAATGAAATTATGATAAAATGTGATTTATCTATCATCTCAGCATTAGGTATGATACCAGTTCATCCTTTCAACTCAGCCTGGTTAATAAGTTGCCTTTTTGTTCACAGCGTACGATAATACCGAAGGGTTCATCATTACACAAGATCCTTTGCCTAACACGATAGCGGACTTCTGGCGAATGGTGTCCGAACACAACGTCTCCACTATAGTGATGCTCAGCGAGGTATGTTTGTAAAAAATATATTTGATCCCACACGTTAAAGTTTTGTTCATTCACTTTTACAATTCATCCTTTTCATTTACTTGTATTCACATACTTATATATTAAGGGTTCATCCACAATTTTGGCATGTCGTCTATATTATCGCGAAAATTAGAACTAATATCAAACAGGAGTCGTCATCTATGATATAAGCATTTTTCTGTATGAAGAGTTAGATTTACTCTTCTGATAAGTAGGTAATTTATTTGCAGCATAAACTGCTGAACATTTTTGCTATCGAATATAGCTTATCTGCCTGTTTATCTAAGCATTGAAAATTTGTCCAAAAACAATGAGAATAAAACAATGCATTGGCTGCTTTTCCACTTTCGTCTTGTGTACTATTCCATCGTTGTTCATTTTCCATACAATGTCTAGCAAATTATTCTGTCCTATCCAATATTAAATATTCGCAAGATAGCTGATGCATGAATAGTTTGTCGCGAATTGAGACTAATAAAGAGTTTTATCTACTTCTAAATCTGGTTAGTTAGATTGTTTTATCTTGTCAAACGGGCCACACTTGTTTGTATTTATATAAAGTTGTATAATATTATTAAAGTATCTCTAACTCTAGATCGTGGTTTATAAGGGATATTTTCCCGCAGTAAAACGTAGCCTATGTGTTAATCCAAGGTGTCAGCTAACTCCATACCAAAAAAAAACGCTCCAGCTGTTTAGATGTGAAGAAGTAACAAACATACACACTCACACACTTACAAACTTTCGCCTTTTTATTATTAGTGTGATAATTATATTAATGAAGATTTTTTTTACCAAAAGATCGGCGAAGGCAAATGTCCACGGTACTGGGACGACGGTACGACGCAACACGAACACATCAACGTCCAATATGAGGAGAGCGACTCGTGTCCCTACTATACCCGCCGGCAATTCCGCATCACTAATAACAAGGTCAGCTATTGTTGTTATAGTCCTTATTTGTATCCAGTTTAAGGTTCATATTGTCCCAAGAGTCCCGGGACTCGGCGTGAAGACATCGATACATAGATATTGGATACATCGTGAACTGTTTAGTTGTAAACAAAGGTGTTTGGTGTAATAAAAGTTTAATGAATTCAATATGAGGAGAGCGAATCGGACCCTTACACGCCGCCAGTTCATCAGAAATAACTAGGTCATATAATGTTATAATAGACTATACGCATTACGTTTAAGGTTTATATTTAATATAGAATGAAATTTGTGACTAACTGAAGATCCGCATCACCAACAACAAGGTAAGATTATATCAAGTTATAATAGGCTCTATTCTTATTACGTTTAAGCTTCATATTGAATAGTATGAAATTCGTAAGTGTTTCTTGTCAAAGATTAAATTTTTCGAATACTCTTAAGCAATCTTTAGACGGAAGCAAAGGAAAGCTTTATGTCACTGTTACGGCACTGTGATTCACTGATTTGTGTTATCTTAATATGAATTTGTTTTCAGTAGACGAAATTTATTTAAATTTGTAATTAGTTTTACCAGGCAATAGATAGAAATAAACCTTCTCTATTCGTCGTTACGACCTATCTTTTTTTCTTTTTTAAGCGCGGTAGTCAAATTAAAGCCTACCGAATGTTAAGTGGTGATAAAGTCCAAACGCGAAGATAGCATGTTACAGCTGTTATAAACTGCTACACCAACCATCCTCACCTTGCCGGCCTTTTTTGTGTCTGGGAAATGCCTTACGCATCCTTTAACCACTGGGGGAGTGAGAAGAAGGTATGTGGTACTCCTCCCTGGAGCTCACTGAAGTGAACAGGGCCCTACCTACGCCCTGAACAGAAAGAGCCCACTAAAAACCAGGCAATACTCCTGCACCGTCACCCGACACGCACTATGAATGGATATCGTGACGATTGATCGCTCAAAGTTTGTCGCTTATACACGAAACGACTGTTCATTGACTGTTTGTTTGCTTTTGAAAATGACGACAGAGACAGAAACCCAAGTAACAAAACAAAATTGTCATTTTGTAATAAATAAAGTGATAATAATTGAAGAGCTGGAGAACAAAATGGTATAGTTACGCATCTCGTTATTTTACTTTTTTTTTACAGTCCTGAGGTTTCGGGCCCTTTAAATTTAAATATCAAATATTTCTCAATCTAAACCGCCGAAAACAGTGGTAAAATTACTAAATTTATAAATTAAAAACCATGCCAAAAGCTCACTCGTAGGTACGAGTATGTCATTTTGTTTTATACAGCTCCTGTAAAATTTATTTTTTTGTAATTACACCATTTTGTTCGCCAGCTCCTCAATTGTGTTATATTACTAACTTTGATTTACTAGTAGGTAGTGCAAATGAGTTTTAGTGAAGACAAGCGAAGCTTTTTGCCTTATTGATCCAACCGCCACTGACTGTCACGTTGTTTATTACACAGAATGGCGATACAGTATCCGTGCGACAGCTCCAATACCAGGGCTGGCCCACCGCCCCGGGGCACGTGCCCGAAGTGACCCGCGGGCTCGCTGAACTAGCGGACGCGGCCCGCACCCACAACGCACCGCCCATGCTGGTGCACTGCCAGTAAGTTAACATATATATATAGCCTACTAGCGGCCGCCCGCGACTTCGTACGCGTGGATTTAGTTAGAAATAAAGGTTCACTGCTCGTTCCCCGTAGGTGATAGCGTAATAATATGTAGCCTATATGTGGGCCCGACTTCTTAATAATATTCGGGCTAAATTTGAAGTAAATCCATGCAGTACTTTTTGAGTTTATCCCGTAAATACATACAAACTAACAGACAAAAATTCTAAAAACTATATTTTTGGTTTCGGTATCAATTGTATATCACACCCCAAGTATTCTAAAATATTCAATGTACAGTTTTGACTTTCCTACCATTTTATGATGTGTAAAGATGTTACTCTGCGATAATGTAGCTTTATATTGGTGAAAGAATTTTTCAAATCGTTGCGAACATGTAGAATATCTCGTCAAACTAGCAGACACGGTCTGCACACACAACACCCATGCATCCAATCATTACACATTGACTAATGTATATTAATTTATTTCCCATTCAAGCTTGGGCACGGAACGATCAGCGTTATTCGTCGCTCTGTGCATCTTGATCTGCCAGCTTCGCACCGAGCGACGCGTGGACGTGAACAGTGTGGCGAGGAAGGTGCGATCTCAACGGGCACGCACCATAGACACGTTTGTGAGTATCTCTACTCTATTCCTTCACTTATAAACTCATAAGACTATATTAATGGCTGAATTACACTTGGTCGTTAGCCTGAATACGAGTACCAATGGAATTCGGGTAAACGACATAGTGTAAATGAACGGAGTCGAGTACGTCCGTATTCGGGTAGTTTTCGCTTTAGATACCCGATACCGTCTTCCAGCCCGTATTCCAGTGTAAATATTGCTTCTGGTTCCCGAATTCAAGTAATTTCTTTGGTGCACCCAAATACGAGCTAACGACCTATTGTTATCGAGTTATAAGTTTTTATTATAGTCGTGCCCATGGAGGTTAGAAGAAGGAGAACGATCGCTGTAGAAAATAGTGTCCCAGAAATATGGACAAAATAAGTGAGGCGCTGCGATCGCTAAGTTGTCTCAATAAAAGCAGAATTTGCACATTATTCAAGGATCAAGACTAACTTCATCTACTTTACAAAAACAGCTCACTTCACAGATACTACTTACCGACGGCAGCGCGGCTGGTGGCTGAAAAATGAACTATAAATTCTACAAAATTTCAGGGAAAGGCGAGCTATTGCTTTAGTACGTAGCGGGCGTTCTCCTCTCTAACCTCCATGGTCATGCCACTGTGTTTTAAACCATGACCACGAAACAGAAAATCTTCAAATTATCTAATATCAGTTATTGAATATTCTTATTATGTCAACAGTTACAATACGAATTCCTACATCGGGCCATACTCAACTATGCTGAGCTCCACAATTTACTCGAGGACAGTTAAACTGGACACGAAGGAAACTTAACTATCACACAAAGAAGAAGTATCTAGGTACCTTCAAATGACCTTGCGACAGGAGGTGATTGGCTGATCTTAACCTGGCAACTTGATGGTCAGTGTTCCTGCACAATTAATTGTTCAGCCAACGTATTCGAGGATACAATTTTATAAAATGAATATATTTTTAAAATCATCTCCACTAAGTTTCCAGGGCTTTACAAACCCAAATGACGATTGTGTTCGTTGACAAAGTCCCAATTTATCGGTACATGTTATTTATGTTCACAAATCGAATGTGAAATTATCTTGTGTATCAGAGTGAGTCTTATGTATTAAGCAGAATTGTATGTTCAATATTTATTTGGAACATTCATCGGAAACAATGATATTATTCTTGATAGGAGAAAAGTATTTTTCAACATCAGTAAAAAAAACTTTGAAATTCATAATAGTGTTTGTTAAAAGTTTATTGGAAATAGTATTAAGTTTCATCGGCTATATAAGAAGAATTAAAATAGTTATGTCTGTCTATAAATTATATCAATAGCAGTCGTAGTGTTAAGAAAAAATGATCACATACAGTGTAGTAAATCCGTGTTTACTAGTGTATTTGTAAATTGGTGAGTTTCAAAGGAAATTGAATGTCTACCAGTGGTCGAGATTAATCCTTAAAGCGTAAATTCGCTTGACAACTTCGCTTGTACTCACCGCTCAAGTTAATGGATTTTATTTGAGTCACAATCAGTGTGATGTTGATATTTTAGCATCTACTGTATGAATTTGAATATTAATAATGAATACCTTTCTAGTACCTTAAAAAGCCGCAAAATAAATGGAGGGTGTAGAAAACCTGAAATGCTCAAAATGAGTGAGTGTTAGAGAATTAAGCAAAAATGAACTGTATAGATAACAGCAAACTTTTTGAAAAATACCACAAACAAATAAATTGCGCAATGGAAGTTTTTATATGTAAGATTGCTACTGCGCAGGCTTCCTTGGTCGACCTCAAGAAATTTGTGGGGGTTTATACAAGGTTGAATATTTTGTAAACTAAAAATGCTTTGAAGAAAATGTTTGAATGATTCTATCATATTTTTTATAACAAACACTGGTATGTGATCAACCGAATAAATTTCGTGAATATCAACATTTTCATATTAATATATTGATAGTCAGCCAGCATACAAGTTGTATTACGCATTTTTTCTTGTAGAACGTCTTGAAATAACAAGTGATTACTGCGTTAGTATGGGCTTTACATGCACGTTAGTATAAACATAGATTACGTAACGAAAATGAAGAATAAAATCTTCTTTCACACCAACTTGGATAAATATTAGGTGCTTTATTATATTTCCAATATTATGCCTTTCTCGCGATTTTACTTTTTTTTTTTATTTCCTTTGTCTTGTTAATTATTATCTTATTTCTATAAGTGTACAAAGTTGGTGCGTCTCAATCTTATTTTTTTAATGTTTAGTGTCTAGATAGGTTAATGAGTCCATACTGCTTTTGTGTATATTGCCTCGTATGGCTACATTATATATGCCATTTGTATGTAGTTAAAAAAAACATTTTACGCCTAACATGAGTCTCTTGACGGATTCACAAGTCTGCGGAGAGCGAGGGTAACATTATTTAGTTTTTTATAATCGATATCCTTCAAGAGATTCACGAGTTACCCTTAGAATAGATCTGTCTTCTTAATCTGTAATCAATAAACGTTTATAATTTAGCTTTTTGGTATGAAATATGCCAAAACTTAATCGTGTCCAAAGAGAGGGTTAGATGATAGAAGATAATATCATGAGGCGAAATGAGGTTAAGTAAAAAATATATTTAAAATATTCTACATAATTTATTTTGATAACGAAAGAGGCCATATGATTATGCATTTGTAACCTAACTTAGGTTATTTTATATCGAGTCATTAAATAAGACTTATGTTTCGGTATTAACTGTAAGGGGGTTTTTCTAAAAGACCTTGATTTTAAAATATTAAGGCCAAATAACAATATGAAAATTTACCCTAATTATTAGCACAATTTATAAATGAAGGTGCGTGCATGCTGCGTAAAAAAATCAAATTCTGCACTATGTAAATAAGCCATTTTTATATGAAGTCGATAAAACTATTGGAGCCCAATACCGATATTTGTTCAAAAGTAAATCCCTACCTATTGGTGTCTTTGTTTAAAAAGCAATAAAGGGAACTTATGTTCCCACTGAAGTTAACTGCCATTGAAAATATCATAGTTTTTAAATAAAATGTATCATAATTAATACTATAATAATATTATTTCTTTGTTTTGGTTGAATCTCATGAAGTATTGGTCCAATTTGAAAAAAAATATATATTTGTGTTAGATAGTCCAATTATCAAGGATGTAATGTCACTTTTACCGGCAGTTTACTAGCGTGTGACGTCATTATAGTCTTCGCCAATCCCAGGCGTTTTCGGTCACGTGACCATAGAACAAAAAATGCATTTCTTTGTAATGTTTTTTAGAAAAGTTATTATTTATTTGTTCTCTCAGAATAGTAGAATCGCTGTTAATATTTATATTAAATACAGATGCCAATAAATTTATACTTTATTTTTCGTACTGTCAAATAGCTTATTGATACATAGATTGTGCCTAGTGTTAAAGTAGTTATGTTTCAGGTACCAGTGTTACTGCGAACTAAAATTGACGCGAAATTAACGAAGTGGAAGTTAATGTACTATTTTAAAGAAAATGTTAGAATAAATATTATTCATTACCTTATGCACAATACCAAGAAAATAAATTTGCTGAAAAATTGGTTTTGTAAGTTGTAATGAATCGCTTTCGTTAACTACTGTATTTCTCCACCTTTTTGACTGATTTTCATTTTGACATTTATCGGGATTGCGCTTCTAAATTTAGAGTCTCAGTGTGCACCTGCCCTTATGGCAACAGTTTTTGATGGATTTACTATTATTATTATTGGTTTTTTCGTAATTTAATGTAATGCAAGACTTGTTGTCTTGCCTATATATGACTGTCTAACGTATGATAAAGTTAGATTGTAAGCTATGTAACTAGATTTTGTATGGGCTAAAAAAATATACACTTTGTTGATGTTGAATGTATGCGGATGATGGTGTGACAAATAATATTGGTGTTGCTATGTTCGTTTTGATTTTTCATCATAGTAAATATTAACAGTTAAATCGGCTCAATTATCAAAGCTAGCATTAGTTTGGAGGAAAATTTGTATATGGCGTCGCAATGGTTAATTACATGCCGGCATTTCATTTGTCTTTTCGTATTTCATCACACACATCACATCACCAGCCTATTAATATCCCCACTGCTGGGGCACAGGCCTTCCCTATGGATGGAATAGGGAGATTGGGCCATGACCCACCACTCGGGCCCAGTGCGGATTGGTGGGTTGCTGACAACTGCAAATGCAGCCGGGACCAACGGCTTAACGTGCCTTCCGAAGTACGGAGGAACTCGAGTTAGTAAATTTTTGGTCACCCATCCAATGACCGTTGCGTTCTAGAAAAGTCTCATTAAATTGAGAGTTAACTAGCACTTGCGAGTGCGTAGTACCTACTTATTACGTACATAATGCGCATAAATTGTAAACAAGTGCAGATGTCCTGGCACTTTCTCCCTTACGCCGCACTGCTTAAGGCTCATTAGAATAAGCGAACCGCGGTGTTCTGGTAAAATCTGTCTGCATTACTTTCGCAGTTTTGTTTCGAAAGAGTTTATAACAAAATTTTACACATTACGTGTAAGGTACCTGGTTTTATAAAAAAGTAATTTATATTTTTTGTTATTATTGTCATTCATTCAAAACGAACATCACATTAAAAGCACCACTGATAATTTATTTGTGGTTGGTTTGGTGCCGCGATTGCGGCGTGGTTTATGTACAGACTTGCACGTTTTAATCCCGAACATTTCTTGTGGACAGCAGGTAAACTTAGGAGGGTAGGAATATTTGGTCAATCAAAATATTTATTCTCAAAAATTTGGTGAAAGGCCTCAACTTTTTTAAGGTAGATAATGTTAAGAATCCCTATTCACAAGATATAATGCCAAAGAAGTATCATATCGTTTCCAATTACTCAAAGATTATGGAAAGACAATTAATGAAAAAAAGAAATTTGCTTTTTACAGTACAATTTAGTCATAAAGTACATTAATCAAAAATGCATCATACTTAATAGCGAATCAGTATGTGATTCAATTACTTTGTAATTTATTTTGTTCTATTGAAGTAATAGAAATACGCACAAATAATCTTTTCAATGATTTTTTTTTTTTTTCAAATAAAACGACTCGGTCTAGGCAGGAATCGAACCTGTGTCTTCCTCTGACCGGGCGGTTGCTCTAACCGGTACTTTACCGAGACCTTACTGATAGTGACGAATTTATTCTAGTATATCTTACTGCATGGCAGCGAAATTTCTTCTTATTGAATATAAACCATAATGTCTTTTCAATGTGTTCAACTTAGCGAAACATGTTTTCCCACCTGGAGATGCGTGCAAGTCGAAAACGGAGCGACTGATCATTGTGTTTTTATTTAGCTTTTTGTAACTATATAAAAATGTAGGAATGTTATGACTTTTTTTTAAAGACTAGACTAAGATTAGATATTAAAACGAAAATGGTCATTGTGCAAAACGAGACGATGGGATAACAGTATTATTTAGAAATGTTGCCGCAACAAAATATTGAAAAGAAACTATTATGTTCCTTTTAGGTTTTATAAAGTATCTACGCACAACTTTCAGGCATATAATGGTTGTATTTACGAAAGAATCAAAAGATAATTGCATTTTTTTTTTAATAATAACTATTATGTTTATTTATGTAAACAAAAAATATTGTTAAATTTAAAGAAAATTCTGTGAACGTAATCCTCGTTTCGGTTTGTACAATTATTTGGCACATCCAAGTTTGTACTGGGAATCTTTTCAAACGTTATTTAAATACTATTTAACTCGGAGTATAATATTATTGTATTTTTTCTACTATTGTTTTCTGTGTTCACTATTGTGTTCTATGTATTCGTAAAATTGCTGTTCTTTCCTAATCCAAAAACAAGAATTGAAGTTGTATCTCTTACTTTAGTAAGTATGAGCACTAAGAAATTTATTAAACAAAATAGCCTCTTGCAGTTCGGCCTACAAATCTTCTATGGGCTTTTCAAGAAGACCAAAGTCAGTGGTACTGTAAAAAAAAGTACATTTTTCATTCATATTCTAAACATTGTATACGCAAAGAGAAGTACGTGTTAACAAGTCATTTAAATTGCACTTTTACGACTAAATGGAACAAATAGGCAACATTCTGTATGGGCTCCATAATGAACATTCCTCAGTATAGGCGTAGATGTGAAATATTATAGGGAAACAAGCTCAGCTATCACATCGGCTAGATTTCAGGATGATTGAAGAGTTTTAGGTTCTATTCGATAATAGTAATAAGGTTTACATTCGTATCGCAGCGGCTGACCATATCATAACCGAGCACTGTAAAGCAGAAAGCGATCAGCGAGCTGTTTTGAAGCTAGCCAAAAATGAGTTCTGTGGACCTATGTTCAAGTATGATTTTGAGAGCGGGAAGCGACCATTGGTCATGGACCATTTGGAATCAAACAGAATCGAACTTTGAAATGGATTTGCAGAATTTTCGCTTTCTTCCATTGTTAAAGTATGATTGTGAAAGCGGTAAGTGACTATAGGTCAGTTTATGAATTAAACTTGTGACATGGGTTTGCAGAACAAATTTTCGATTGCTTCCAAAATGCCCGCTGGCTGCTTTCTGCTTAACAGCGCTCTATGTTAGTAGCAATCACTATGCACAAATACAATAGATATATAGAGAAACACATAGCACGTAATGCAAATAAGAAAATGAATTTTCGCTGTAAATTATGGCCTCCCTTGATAACACTCAAAAGTACGTTTTCTATCAAAGTCCCTTTTGATTGACAGATGCAGAGACGTCAATTTAATATTCAATCACAGCGTTATCTTTAATTAAACTTAACATTGACATCCCTTCGTTTGGCCTTTTAACACTGGCATCAGAGTGAAAGCATGTGCTCCCTTCCAAAATGTTTATGATAAGATAACACTATTATGTTTAGTGTAGGTAACATAATATACTAGGCCTAAATATACCACAACAACCAAACCGCCTTAACTGAAATTAAAATCGCCGTCTCTGCGTTTTAAATACCGATTAGTGTTAAAGTACAACTTTTCTCACAGCTACTTAGAGGATCAGCACCCTCATTTTATCAGTGTTGTATTGTGTTTTCCAATATTTATATCTTAAATATCCGTAAATTTCTTCTTGAAATCTAGCAGATGTCTCTCCAAAATGCTTATTATTATTTATAGTAGAGTACGCTTTTTGTAATCATACATTTTTTTTACATGAAATAGTACGCTAATATTATTGATAATGTGTAATTATTTAAATCTGTTCCTCTGTTAATTTCGCGTAACATGTGTATTTACAAAATCAAAATGGCCAACCAGATTGTACTTTTTAGAAAAAAATGTGCAAATTAAATATTTCGTACTATCACTTTATTCAAAGAAAATTATATTGATTTGTTTTCAGAATAGAATTTTAAAAATATATACACATTATGATATTACCATAATAGTAATTGAAATAAATCTTATTAATTTAAAAAGCGAATTACTACATTTGCACTTGTTACAATTAAATAAAAGTTTCCGAAACAGAAGTTTTAAAATTACAGCTTTCTTTTTATACAATGATTGTGATTTTTTTACGATTTTTGTATTTGTTTTGTAAATATTATTCTTAAGTACATCAGCAGTTCGCAGGCCTCCAATCTATGATATGTATATTTTATTTGTCTATAATGTAAGCTTTGACAGTTGTGAAACTGAGAATTTTAATTTTATTATGTTTTTTTGAAACTGTAAATAGATAATGCAGGTCGTGTAATACAATATTTTTGAAAATATACCATTATTTAGAAAATAGAGCTGCGTTTTATTTTATTTTGTACAAGTTACCTGCGCCATTACTTTAATTTGTGTGTCAACCTCATATTCATAATACACATAATGTACACCTACCAATACAAAGCCAAAATTCTGTCACCAATCCTAAGATCCTACTAAGGTAGACCTTCCTTCATTGAATTCCGTAATAATCGTATAATTTATTGTGGTCTTGATTTTTTATTTACAGTATTACAATATATAGAAATAAAATAACAACAACTTAATGTATAATATTTAAATACAAATTACCTCAACCTAGTTATGAATAATATCTTACTATTGACTGAACTGTTGATTGAGATGGCTGCCAGCCTTTTGGTTACCAGTCACTTCGGTGAGTCTTTGATAATTTCTTAAATAAGGAACGAGCGCTTGGACCCCATGGGCCTATAGTCTCAACACTAAATGGCACAAATCAAATATATGGTTTTCATTGAGAGCTGAATATTTGCGCCGCTTGACGCACTGAGCAGAGGCCGCCGCTGAGTCCGCAGCAAGGGAGGTGCTCCATGTATGGCACGAAGCAAGCGTATTCACACAAGTTGCGTCCCATACAAGAGGGCGACCCTGCTTTCAAGGAATGGGCGTCATCCGTCAGGCCTCTAGCCATCGTCACGAAAGATGCCGCTAGGCTCAAGGATCGCTGCGAAAAGAGCTCTGCGGATGTCTTCATTGATGCAGGCGTGGCGGAAGACTCGGAGTAAATATTTTTAACCATGAATGCGGAAGTAACAATCTGTCTGTCTGTAAAGTTTCACGATAAAAATTACTCGTTATATTTTACACCTAACTGCTGAATCAATTGTGATGAATTTTGGAATGAAGAGTTCTTGAAAGAAATCTGTTTTTAATCGAATTTTTTTTTAAAGGTTTTAAACTCACATGCCTATAATTAAAGCGAGCGTGTCATGTTTTTTGTTAATCTGAAATATAAATTAAAAGAGGCTGGCTTTTTTCTACAGAATAAAAGACAAAACACTTTTTAACGGGTTTCATGTGTGCTTTTTTTCATTGCGGATCCTAAACAGGCTCTTAAAAATAATTCTTGTGCAAACGAAGCCTCGGAGCCTGTAAAGGACCCGAAACGTCAGGAATTATATAAAAATTAAAAACCACTTTTGGAACCCGTTGGAAAAGTGTTATATATAATGAGTTGTGTACGTGAAGCATACGAAATACCTAGTCAGGTCATAAATTCTGTCACATGTTTAATATAAAACAATTGAATCAAGTTTATTCATTATGTAACCATTTATATACCAAAATAAAACTTAACAAAACAGATTCTTATGATAATAAAGTTTATTCAAAATGACCTTCGTGATTTTGAATACAGGCCTTCAATCTGCGCGGCCAGTCGTCTATCGCAGCACGAACGAGGTCCATGTCAATATCGGCGGCTGCCTTAATCAAGGATGTCTTGAGTGACTCCAAATTGGGATGAGGCTTTGAGTACGCCTTTTTCTCCAATTCTCCATATCTTGTAATCTAACGGACTCAAATCTGGACTGGAGGAGGGCAAGTCTTCGTGCCGGATGAAGTCGATTTCACGCGCCGCGCCGCCAGCCAGTCTTGTGTGCTCTTCGCTCTATGAGCTGGCGCCGAATCTTGTTGGAATACCCAGTGCCTGTTATTGAACATAGTATGAGAAACAGGTTCCACAAGGTTCGTCAGGACTGTATTTTGATACACAACTGCATTCGTTTTTACACCTTTCTCACAAAAATGTATCTCTGTTAAGCCCCAATAAGAAACTCCCAACCATACCATGAGCGAGGATGCAAAATGACCTCGTTGGACACGCGGAATACGGTTACTCGCTTCTTCACTACTGTGTGCGTACACCTTATCATTTTGTTTGTTGTAGCTCTCTTTAAGTTAGTAAAAAATTTTTCATCCGAAAAAAGAATTTCCCGAAATTTTTTTCCCGCGTACCGCTTCAACAAAGCGCGGCATCTCTTCAGTCTCAGGTCCATTAGACGAGCATTCAAACGATGTCCTGTTTTTCTTCGATATGCCCGAAACCCTAAGTCTTCATTTAACACCCTTTTCACCATGGTTCTGCTTAACTCCATCTGAAGGGCCTACAGTTTTTGCTTACGTTTGGGATTTCTTTGAATTGGCGCCTTCACAGCTTTTATCACTGCTAGAGTCCGACCGAGGGCAACCACTTCTTGACCTGTCATCTACACTAGTCTTCATTGTATTGTTTGATGGTATGTATATGTCAAAATTTTGAATTGGCGCGTAACCGCAACGATGCAACGCAATAACTGCAACACGGTCTTCTTTAAGCGTACACTCCATATTTAAAAATTATTAAAATTCTAAAAAGTTGTCATTTTTATTTTCATGAACAATTCGAAATTCGAATTCAATAAACTTTTTTGTGACCAGCATTCTAAAAGCAAAGTTTTTACTTGTGACCAATACTTATGACCTGACTGTGTATAAATCGAACAAAAGATTTTGTTCTGATAGCTTAGAGACTGCTAATAGCCCCATGTTCTAGAAAAAAAATGGAGAAAAGAATTATCTAGTAAAAAACTTTCCCTCCTTGGCATCGAAGTTTCAAGACATTATTTGAAATTTCTAGACTAACAGATTATTTGTATCGAAAAAGTGTATTATCGCATTAATTACGTGTGCGTACTGTGTCCATGTTAATTTTTATCAGTAGGAAAAAAATAGGTAGGTATCAACCTGGTAGGTACTTAATTATCTATTTCTCAAAAGTTCCAGTTCAGTTGTTGTAAAACCATTTTATAATCTACTCGACGATAGATGGCGCTATATTAGCAATAATATTCCATCCATGACCTACTCTACCATTCAGGAGCTATTAAAAAAATGGCCGGCTTAGAATAATAGAGCGTGACGTTATTAAAAACACAACAAAATAAAAATCTTTTTGATCCAGCGGAATATAAGGGACTGCATTATTTATCAGTAAACAAAGACATTAAACTATGCATAATACGTAAATTTATTCTATTAAAAAACCGTCCAAGTGCTAGTCGGACTTGCGCACCGAGGGTTCCGTACATACTCAATTTAATAATACCTCTACGCGTTGATGAGAAAAGAGGTAGTAACATTAAAATTCTCAAAAATTTTTTTTATTATATGATGTAACAAAAAAATACAGTTTTCGCAATTTTTCCCTTAATTACAGTTTGATATCTCCACGAAAAACAGCCTTGACAGACGGATGGACGAACAACAAAGTGATCCTATAAGGGTTCCGTTTTTTCCTTTTGAGGTACAGAACCATAAAAAGTAAACAACTCGTAGCAATTAACGAAGTCTCTTTGTAATATTTTCACCTAGAAAAGTCATAGTAAGCATTTATCATAACAATTTAAATTATATAGATTATAGTTTAATAAAACGAATAAACGTTGGAACAAAATGCAATAGTCAATTTGCCCAGAGGTATATACCGGGCGCGGCTGCAAAGACGAGGTCGATGGACGCAACGTGGCTGGAGTGATAAATGAACACGTCAAGCGAAGCACTCGAGAAATTTCTACTCGCCGCTAGATGTCGGAACGGGTATATAAGCTGAAGAAACGCGCGCAGTTCAATTCAAAACAAGACAAGCGCTACGGAGAGAACTCGACGAGTTTATTGTGAGATATCCTTTGTGTACGTAAACAAACAGAAACAGTGAAAATGAAAGTCTGCGGAGGATTCTCGTATTGCCTCACAATGGCGATAATATTTTTCGGAATCGGCACAAGAAGGGCGATCGGCGAAGACTCGTGTCCCGGAAAAAAGAATAAATTGATGGACCAATCGTTCGGGATGGCTTTGACACCCGATGACTTTTTGTCTTCAATGATGACACCATGGATCGTCCACGATTATTTCAGGCCCTGGAGACACATGGCTGCCTTAGCAAAAGACTTGGGCTCAACCATTAAAACGGAGAAGGATAAATTCCAGATCAATTTGGATGTCCAGCATTTCGAACCCGAAGAGATAACCGTGAAGACTGCTGATGGATACGTAGTGGTGGAAGCGAAGCATGAGGAGAAAGAAGACGAGCACGGCTTTGTTTCGAGACAGTTTGTGAGGAAATACTCATTGCCTGAAGGTGCTGAGTCTGAGAACATTGTATCGGAGCTCTCCAGTGATGGTATTCTGACTATAACTGCTCCGAGGAAGGTAGTAGACGACAGAGGCGAGAGAGTGGTGCCTATAACGAAGACTGGCCCCGTCCGGAAAGAACCCTCTGAGAAAGCTGCAGAACAAGGATCTTGTATGTCTAACAGTGAGAAGTGCTCCGGTTAGATGTCAGTCAATGTTAGGTTGATGATTCATTTTAAGTTCCTAGTCAAGTCACAATGATATGTAAGTAAAACTGAGAAGACTAAATAAATATTTTTTTTATATAAACAATTTCTTTTTTATTCATAAAAAAGTGACAGTATTTTTAACCTACACGATTAAGTTAGTTTTCTATTCGCGGTTTTGACCTCTTGGGCCTCTTGAACGATATATGTATTGAATGATTATACGATATTAATTTCATTGTGAGTATAAAACAGAACAATTAGCCCAATTCTTAATTTATGTAAAATTCATGATATGCTTGTAAGTTTGCTTTAATTTAAGCTATGCTTTAATTACATAATGAACTATAAACAATAATAAAGTTAAAGTCATAACTTATTCATTCAAATTGCATTCACGACACAACACTTTTGAATAGTCTTATTTCTTGTAGACTGTTTTTCGTTGTGGAGAAAAGACGCAATAAAACCTCCGCACTTCTTAACCAAGGAGCGCTAAGTGATGGTGATCAGACCCGTCTTTCCCAGTGGGCACTTTGAGGAAGTGCCCAGGGTCCCGCAATCGATAGGGGGCCCCCTCAGATCAAAGTCCCTAGTTCCTGTTAAATCACCAAACGGAAGTCATAGGGGCTCCATTAACTAATATGCCCTCCAATAGGTCAAAGACGGCACTGATGGTGATGTAGTGTAGGCCGCGCTGCTGACCAACCAAATAAGCAGTAAGATAATCGCTAATATATCTGTAATAAAATAATATTAGTTAGCATGATAAATCTTAGTACTCTAACTGCCGCACAGCGCACTCAAAGAGCCAAATTAAATTTAATACTTGTCAAAGTTACTATCATGGATAAATAGGTAGCACTATTTACTTCCTATTATGTTAGTTTGATACATTATAAAGTCGGCTTTTCGCTACGGACAGAGATGTAAAAGATACATTAAAAAAAGTAGCTAAAATACAAATTAGAAGATACCAGGTAGGCAAGTATTTAGATAACAGATACAAGATATCTTTGCAAAAAGTATTTGAAATACTAGATAAAAGATACGAATTTTCATAATACTTTTTTTAAGATAAATATGCTTTTTGAAACAAAACATGTTAGTAATATAGCCAGTCCGCTGTGCCTTTTTTTTGAAAACATAACTGTAAGGCCACGCCCCTAAAGACGCTGTTCTTACGATCATCCATCTTACGATTGATCTTACTTGCATTCGCGTTTCTTCAATATTTATCAAGAACTATGAATTAATGATAGTTTCGGTGTATTTTTTTTCGATATTCTGAAGGGTGTTTATCTTTGGTCAGGTTTAGGATAGCTGACCATGATTATGAATTTGCAGGTTGTTTACGATTGGTTATGTTTGGGTGACCGCGATTATTAATAATATGCAGGTTGTTTACGATCGGTTGGGTTTGGGATGGGTGACCGCGATTATTAATAATATGCAGGTTGTTTACATTTAGTTCAGTTTGGGATAAGTGACCGCGATTATAAATAATATGCAGGTTGTTTACGATTGCTTGGGTTTGGGATGAGTGACTGCGATTATTAATAATATACACTGTTTGCGAATGGTTATGTTCAAGAGATGATATCATTAATAAGCTCCGGTCTCTCTCTCTAATTATTTGTAAAAAAACAATGCATGAGTTTTTAAAGTCAATGTTGAAATTATATCGGAAAAGAAACAGTATCTTAGTAAAAAAAGTATCTTCAAAATACCAAGATACTGAAAAAAGTATTTAAATACAAGATACAAAATAAATTTCAAAAAAGTAATTGAAATACAAGATACGAATACGTATTTTGTATCTGCATTTTAGATACTTTTATCTTAGATAAGTAACATCTCTGTCTATAGACTATTGGTGGCCGCTTCAATGAGGGTCACTTTCCACATTTTAGGGTTCCCTACCCAAAGGGTAAAACGGAACACTATTGCTATCAACCTGTCTGTCCGTGTGTCACTGGTCTAGATCGTAAACAGAATGAGTTACAGTACTGCAAAGCCGAATATTTAGTTAAAAATTCAATTAAATTCATTTATGGGGGGGTCCCATACAATACATGAAAAGTAGACGAAATTAATGTCTTTGTTTTTTCCCCCAGCATGTGACACATCTTTCATTGTCTAGAGCTCGTTTATTACGATTTAAGTAACTTGTCACCTTTAGACCATAATATACCAAAAATTTTGTAGTTAAAATCAAGTGCTTAGGTCGCAATAAGAAAAACAATGTAGATAAATGAACAAATAATGCAATAAATAACATCAGTTTTCTTTAATGCAATTGCGAATGTAAGTTTGAAGTTTTGTTTGTTTTGTTGTTTTGTAAGATTTATTTTAAACCGATTTCAAAAAGGAGGTTTTCTGTTTTTTGTTATTGTTGTTCGCGCATATTTCCCATACCTGTAGACCGATTTTCGTGATACTTTTTTTTTGCTTGGAAGAGTTTGTTAGCAAGATGATCCCCTATTAATTTGGTAAAGATCTGATGGTGAGTGATCTGAGATTCCCTTTATTTACTACTTATTTTGGCACCGACACCAAATATTAATTTGTCTTTAAATGTATTCTAGACATAAGTAAAGCATAAATGTATTATTACATAATTTATAGTAGTTTCATTTCTATATCGGTTTTAAGTTCTGTTAAATTAGTTTATAACATATTATAGTACTTAGTCGTCAATTAGCAGTAAAATACTTTTTATGAGACAAAATATATCAAAAATCTTCCTAAAATTAAATAGATAGAATTACATATCTACTGCAGTAGAAAATGTATCATTTTTATGATATCGTCTACTGTGAGATATTATTTAAAGAAAGCCATAAAAAATGCGCGAAACAAAATTGTAGTTTTAAAGTTTACCTTTTACCTATGTGTGATTTGCGAATTAATTTTAGTTTGTATTGGTAATATGTAATTTTTAAGAAATCATTCATTCTACAATTTGTCACTAAGTTGTCGGTGTAGCTATGTAACGTGACAGTACCTTCATTTAGTGTGTTACAAGAAACATTTATTTTAATATTAAATTAACTTTTCTCTAAATTTGTGAATAGTTAATTGAATAAAAACACAAAATAAATGTAGAGGAAAGATCATATTTATTAAACTCACTTCAGTCTTTTATCACTAAAAATAAATTTACAAATAAATTACGCGCGTAACTTACAAACAAACAGAGGATGACTTGTTTTTATCATAGCACTTAAAAAAAATTACTGGTTTCCATTTCCGTTTGCTTGTGAAGTCTGGTCTTTGATTTCTTTCCTGACGGGTCCAGTCTGGGATATCGGGACGCTTCTTTCGTTCTTCAAAGCTGGGGCCACTCTTGGAGCGACAATTGTCAACACGCCGTCAGATGACAGTCTAGATTCCACTGTTTCAGGGTTGCAACCTTCGGGGAGTGCATAGCGTCGCGTGAATTGGCGTGAGATAAAGCCGTGGTCGTCCTTCTTTTCCTCGTGCTTACCCTCGATGACGACGTAACCATCAGCTGTCTTGACAGAAATTTCCTCCGGAGCAAAATGTTGCACGTCTAGGTTTACTTGGAATTTGTCTTTGTCAGACTTGATGGTGGATCCGACGTCCCTCGCAGCCGCGGCCAGCTGACGCCATGGTCTGTAGTAGTCGCGGGATAGGAGCGGCGACACAGCAGCCGTCAACAAGTCATCCGGAGTCAGCGCCAACCCGAAATCTTGATCGACTAGGCGGTGAGGATGATCGAAACCAATGATGAACGGTAGTAGAGACATTTTCTTGTTGTACTTTGATTTATCTTAGTGGTGAAGTCGCGGTAATTTCACTGCAGTCAGCAGTAAATGCACCGAATCGCTTTCGCTTGTAGAGCTTGTTCCAAAATAACATGCCATTTTGCCGGCCGGCTTGCTTATATATGGCCGATGGCGCGACATCTAGCGTTGGGTAGAGATTTCTCGAAAAGTCGAGTATAAACAACTGAACCACACACAAACTCTGTTATCTTTTGTGCATGTGTGCGTGTATTTTGTCGAGGGGAATGAATGTCAGCTGTTCTATTGATCGGGCGAGCGGCGGGCAGGTACGATGAACATTCCAGCATTTTCTCGTCAAAACAACGAGATTCTTCCGATGTTGTTACACAATTTACGCCGTTACATACACAGCTTTGTTTGTTTATATACAAACTTTGGCTGCGTCGATTCTATGAAAAGTTGTGCCTTTCTTCATAATAATTTGGTTTCATTTCAATGTTACTTGTGAGATAAATTTATTACTAGGTAGGTACGTATATTACACAATACTGATACCTCAATGCAAAATAAAACGGATTTTAATGATACCTACCTAGGATTAGAAAAAATGATAACTGAATGATCCATTTGTATTATAATGACCTAATGAAGTTGCCAAGCGGTTGCAATCGTAGATTAAATAAAACACGGATACACGTATAGAAGTATTTTCAATAGGGTTCGCATCGTCTATCATACTTTTAGAGTTATTGGGCCTGTAATTGCTTAAGTCTGATTTTTTAAGTTATTTTTTTCAGTGGCACAATGGAACTCTTCGTCTGTGAGTTTGACTTCATATAATCGGTTTTTATCAGTGATTCATATTAAAACATAATAAATAATGTATAAATTATGCTAGCGATGCAAAAAATGGGCGATGTAATAAAGGTTTCACTTTTAAAAGTTCTAATTGCGGGCACGGACCTAAAAAAAAGACGGACGTAACCTCGTCTTATCACGAGTGAAGCATGCAAATGGCCGCCCGTTTACCGTGTGTGCGTGATTTGAGGGTTGTCATATAAGTCATCAATTTCCCTATTTTTTAATGTCTCAAACTAAAATATTGTTAACACTATGTAGGTAATCCCGTTATTGTAATATGTATTTATTACAATAACGGGATATTTACCATGTTTTTATTAGATGTAAGCTCACTATATTTCAGCAATTTAAACGGGTGCACTTTAGAAACATAATGTGGGCCTATCAAACATCATTTTTATGACGACCGTTAGAAAAATGAAAACACTTGCTACGTATAAAGAAATTTCGGCTGTTGATTGTTTT